ACAAAGGGTAGACAACCAACTGTCATTTCCTACAGATTTCTAGTCCACCAGTCCTCCTTCTCCTTTTGCAGTACTTTCCCTTCTGCACACACACCCCACACACAATACGTGATGAAAAACAATAAATGGACTGGAAAAAAAAAAGCAAATAACATTCTCAGAAGTATGTATATCTTCAATTGTTGTTATCATTCAGTTCCTAGTTGACAGTCTGTAATAAAAAAGAGTCATCATCATCAACTTCTAAAGGAACTTCAATAGAGAAAATGGGGCAAAAAGTCTCTCCTCACATCTGGAAAGGAGATCATTAAGTCAAGTATGAGGTACAGAAATGGGACAGATCTTAAGATGTCTCCAGAAGACGATCCTAACCTTTCTACCTGTCAGATCCAAATGCCTCAGCACCAGTAAGTCCTTGTAAATGGCAGTGGAAAAGTTAGGGGGGGACTGGTTTTGTCAGATGTTTGCATACCTGAGTAAACAAGGTTCTTCCCTTCCAGAACTTGTCCAAGCATCAGGCATTCTGCTTGCCATTCAAACATCTGCACTACTCCCAGACTGTGGTATTTCTCCAGAACTGCTTTGGGAAGACCCCAGCTTGCAAGGAGCAACTTGTCTGCTTGATCTTCAGGAACATTTACCTGCTGATATTGCCCTTTGGAAGGAGAAAATAAAAACAAAATTTAAAAAGTCAAGTATCATCTTTGCATCTGAGGTCACTCAGGTTATACACCCAAATGTCAAACTTCTCTACAGACTGCTGTATTACAAGAAAAGGCAATTAACTATCTGCCCTGTATTTTTCAATATTTTGTGTGGATGGTTCACCATTTTTCTTATCTTCTGATTTTTTTTTTTCCAATTTTTCCTCCTGTAAGATTTTCCACATTCAGTTAATTCTTTCACCAAACTCTTGCCCTGGTATTTGCTTTTGAGACAGAGCAACTATTATTACCAAATACATAGTCAAAGAGAGCTTCAGCACTGATTAATGTAACAGCATTGCAATGTATTTGCCATCTTGTCCTCACCCACACCATTTCCCTTTTAAGAAGTTACTGCAACTGAAATTTCATTAGTTCTCATTGATTACAGAACTGCCCAGTGTTTTTTTGTTTTACAGATGACTGAAAACCACAACCTAAAGCAAACAAGCAGCTCAAGCTAGTACTCTGTACAGTGTGCCATATTTCAGTTTATTAACACTGATAGCATCTTCACAACACTGCCAGTTCCTCTAGCTTAATTAAGTTCCTTGCTGATTATTTCTTGTCTTAGTAACCCTAAACAACTTTGTGCTGACTACAGGTGCTGCCTCCTCCCTCTCCTTCTCCTCTGTTTTTCCAAGTCGTTAAGAAAAATCAAGCTTTTTGTTCCATTCAGGTTTCTGATCCACAGGAATGCCTCCCCTATCACCCATAAATATATAGTTCCTGTAAAAGCATTTTATGAAAGACCTTCTCAAATTGAAATGAAAACCAAGTAATTGTGTGTACTGCCTCTACTGCACCCGTTCTTCTACTGGTGCATTCAAAAAATTCTAAGAGAAATTTCCCACCATTGTTGACAGCATAAGGGCAGGCTAGATAAATAATACCAGCCTGCATAAGCAGCCAGCATTTCTTCTCTCATCACACTAACAATTTCAACTGCTGCCTTGAGGTTAACCCCAGTCTAGGCTGTCACTGCTGCATGATCAGTTTCTACACAGCTTTGCTTCACTTTGTGTAATTAAAGTACCATAAAATACTAAACAAAAATTTATGCACCATTGGGTGCATAAACAGAAATATGCTACAAAGCAGGACAGACTTCCCAAGGGGAATTCAGAGGAGACCAGAATTGTCCATCCTAAACTGTGACTGTGGTGAGTTGACCCTGGCTGGACACCAGGTGCTACCCAAAGTCATTCCCCTCCTCAACAGAACAGGAGAGACAAAATACAATGAAAGTTTCATTAGTGTAAATAAGGACAGGGAAAGACCACCCATCAATTACTATCACAGGCAAAACACTTGACTTGGAGAGAATTAATTTATTACTAAACAAATCAGAGTAGGATAATAAAAAATAAATCAAAATCTTAAAAACACCTTACCCCCTACTCCCTTCTTTTCAGGCTCAACTGTACTCCCAATTTTCTCTACTTCCTTCCCCCAAACAGCACAAGGGGAGAGGGAATAGGAGTTCCAGTCAGTTCATCACACATTGTCTCTGTTGCTCCTTCCTCCTCAAAGAGGAGCTCCTCACACTCCTCCCCTGCTTCAGTGTGGGGTCCTTCTTACTGGAGACAGTCTCCATGAACTTCTCCAGTTCATGTCCCCCATGGGGTCATAAGTCCTGCCAGCAAACCTGCTCCAGCATGGGCTGCTCTCTGCACAGGTCCTGCCAGGAACCTGCTTCAATGTGGGCTTCCCACAGGGCCACAGCCCCCTTCAGGCAACCACTCCCTCCAGCATGGGGTTCTCCAGGAGCTGAAGGTGGATCTCTGTTCCACCATGGTCCTCCATGGGCTGCAGGTGGATGACAGCATGCTTCACCATGGTCTTCACCACAGGCTGCAGGCAAATCTCTGCCAGCACCTGAAGGACCTCCTCCCACTCCTTTGTCACTGACCTTGGTGTCTGCAGGCTGTTTCCACCACATATTCTCATTCCTCCAGCTGCAGATGCCATTGCACAGGCTTTTTCCTCCCTTCTTAAATACATTATCCCAGGGGCTACTGCCATTGCTGATGGCCTTGGCCAGTGGCAGGTCCCTCTTGGATCTGGCTGCACTGGCTCTGTCCAACATAGACGAAACTTTTCATGGCTTCTCACAGAAGCCACCAGAAGCTTATAGCCCCCCCTCCCCTTGCCATGCAAATCAAATACAGTGACTAATATGGCAAGAATTAAGATTCAGAAACATAAAAACCCCTCTGTGATGGGACCTCAAGCTTTTTCACTAGTGTTCAAACCAACAAATTTTATGTAAAAGATGGAATGACTAAAGGATCAGGTGATTCGGCTGTTTGAAGAATATCTTTAGAACTGAAGATGTGTTTGGAAACTTGTGGCTTAGAGATCTATGTACAGAAGTAAACCTGTGATACCAACTTTTTTTTTAATTTACTAAAACAATGCTAAGAAACAGTCAAAATTAGGAAGATACAAATTGCTGGTTAAAAGCATTAGGTATTAGATTTCTCAGAAGGAAAATCGTTCCAGAGTGAGGGGCCAGTTAAACACAGGAGTGCTGCTTACTGAATTGTCTTTGGGGAGCTGACTGTGGAAATGTGTACATTTCCTTGCACCATTCCATTTGCAGAAATTGACAAAATTGTATCTTGCAGAGCATAATCACATCAGAGAAGATGTGACATGACTGGAGAAGAGATCAAGAGATATAAATGCTTTAAAAAGTTACAGAAAAATCACAAAAGAGATGAAACTGCAAGATGCTTTGTAAATATCTTGATTTAAGATGTTGTATACAATCTCGATCCTGTATATATCTTGATTTCTCTCTTGATTCAAGGACACAATAAGCTGGTAAAATCTGTGTATGGCATCTAGAAGCATCACTTTAAGCGGCTGTCTGGCAGCAGGAGCACTTGATATGACACCTTGCCACAAGATGTTTATACAAAATCTTGTATATTGCATACAGAAATATACTGTGTATATTTCTGTATTCTATATGTATTCTTTGATCAATTTCTCAAGGTAGGTAAACAAACCTTGGCTGTTATACCAAGGAGGACGGACGACACCGATCGTTGTATTATGGCAGCACCTAGAGGCCAAGCCAAGAATAAGGCCCGGTGTTACACGACGCACAGAATGCCCCCATCTCAGACTCGCGCACAGAATACACATTTTCTTATTTTCTTCCTCGACTACACAGCGAGGAGTGCAGGAAATCCCTCGATCACCACCCTGCTAACACAAGCACGTCCTTCGGCTGCAGCCGCTGCCCTCTAGGGAGAAAGGAAGGGACGAAGCGCGGCCCGAGCAGCGCCAGGGCCCCGCGCCCGCGCCGGGAGAGGCTCGGAGGGTCCCCGGCCCCGTCCAGCAGCGCCCCGCTGCCCCCGGCAGCCTCGCTCCCCCTGGCCCAGCGCGTCCCGGCCCGCCGCGCTGCACGACCGAGGGGAGGCGGCAAGGGAAAGAAGGGGAATGGGAGGGAAGGGCTGGGGTCTCCACGCCGGTACCTGCCGAGCCGCTGCGGCGCAGGGAGAGGTCGAGGCCGGGCGGGGGGCTCAGCACAGCGCGGCGGGGAGCGGCGGGGCCGGGCGGCACGGCCCGCCCCGGTCTGAGGGAGCTGCCGCCGCCGAGCCCCGCGGCCGAGGCTGCGGCGGCACCGCTCGGGCCGACAACGGTGCCGCCGCCATCTTCCCGCCGCGCCATTCAAAGCCGGCTCCGCCCCGGCCGGCGGGAGGGCGGCTCGGGCCGCGGCCCCGGCGGGATCGGGAAACGAGCGGGAGCAGGGAGCAGGGAGCAGGGCGGGAGTAGGGAGCAGGGCAGCCCGGCACGCCCGAGGCGCGCGGCCGGCGCAGCGTAGGGGTTGTCTGTGTAAAAACAGCGGGCTTGCCGAGGCAGCGCTCCGAGCGTGCGGTACGCGCGCTGTAGCGGTGAAAGGCTCAGATAATTCAACGAAAGGTGTGCTTCAACACGACAATGCTTACCTTGCAGGAGAGGGCACAAAGGACAAACGGCCTCGTTTGCTGTTTCTAATGTCTCTGACACCAAAATAGCTTTTCAGAGTCTAAAAGACTAGGACTGCTTTTACCTCTCCTCAGCAACTTGAATATGAGAAGCAGTTCTAGGAAAATTCTGCAGTATCCGAAGAATGCATGTCTTTGCCCATCACCCACAGAAAGTATTAAGAAGCATTGTATCAAAAAATAAGGTTTATCTAAGTTGCTTTTCATTTCAACTGAAGAAAGCATACTGAGATTTCCAAAAATAAGGACAGCAAAGGGTAAACATTGAAAGCAGGAGTATGAACACACACAGTAATTTCCTTCTGGACACCATTGCTTTATTTTGGGTAACACACACCCACCACACCCACACCCCACTCAGAAAAGCTCTTCATGTTCTGTATCTCTCTTCAGAGAAATGTATGACAGGCTGACTTCACGTGAAGCAGGGCTGGTGGTCATCATCTCAAACACATACACGCAGAAATTTACGGCCCTTGAAGAAGAGCATCTCATTCCCATCATTAAATCTTAAAATTAAATGGAAGCAAAATTCTTTAAGAATACTGCTGTCATTTCAGACAAGTATATCTGACTAAGTGTAAAGGATGGTCTAATGAAAGAGTCAATGTATTTTAATCGTTTTTAAATCAAGCAGCTCAAAAAGCTTCTTTCATTGCTCAAGTTTACAAAACCAGACGCTAACAGTAGGGTCTTCTGTGTTTCAAAGCCCAAGCACCAAATAAATACAACACACATTTTTTCCCTAAATCAATTATTTTAATGAATTGACACTAGGAGAATGTATCTATGCTGCTACTCTGTTGACCAGAAGTTAGATACATTAAAGGGAAGAGAGGCACACAGAAATCCTCTGCTAAAGGCTCTCACTGCAGGAAACAATTCCCACTGCAGACTAACCACTTCCTGTATTAGTACTGAAAAAATATTGAAGAAAATAATTCAGTAAAGATTTCTACTTAGTAACAATATATATTTCTATTGTGCCAGAAAAAGACCAGAATAAGCACTGCTGATACTTAAAATGTTCACAGCATAAACATGTTTCACTTCCACATGTAGTATTACAACTGCAGTATGAAATCTATTACTTCCTCATCACTTCATGTCCTCCTTACATTTCTGAAAAACCTATTTAAAATATTAAAGGAGACATCCATCTTCATTCTACTCTTTTTTTTTTTTTTAAGGGGGAAAAGACAGGTTTTTCTATCTGAAATTTTTAATTCATTAAAAATAGTTTACAAAATTTGAGGGCAGACCTACTTTACCAAAGTAGGAAACAGAGCTAACTAGCAACCAGTCGAAGAATTTGGTTCCGTAAGTATGTGCACAGCTGGTTCATCAAGTCTCTGTTCTGTCCTTCAACCCAGTGCATTTCTACTACTACATCATTTCCTTCTTTCTTCACATTCATTAAACACTTGAAGAGAAAACCCCCACTAGTTTCTTTAGGGCCTGGCTCTTTTTCCACTGTAAGATTGCTAGCTTCCTCTGAAGGGTGAGGTTCCTCCTTCACATCACCAGAACCTTTCCCAAGTGATGTTTCTCCCTGCTTTGCTTCCATCTCCTCTTCCTTCACAGGATCACTGTGTTCTTCTTTGGCAGCAGATTCCTCTGCTTGCTCATCACCTGCTGTCACCTGGACATCCTCATCAGGTGCCATAAAGCCCATTTCAGAGTCTTCAGCCTTGGGGTTTTCACAGTCCGAGTTGTTGCTCACGCTCTTCTGGCTGTTCTTTTCCTCCTCCATTGCTTGCAGAATATCTTCAGAAGCTCGAGGAAGTTCTCGTAATTGCCTTACTCTCTCTCGTTTCTTTCTCCTCAAATGAATCCAAGAGTTTTCAATGGCAGTCACAAAGAGGCTAATTTCATCTTTTCCACATGGAACACGTTTATGCTGAACCTATTGCAGAAAACAGAATTTCATACAATCTTCTCACAGTTATGCTTTCAATTAGGACGTTGTTTTAACATCTAATACTTCATACTGTACCTTCAGATCAGTGAGAATCTTCTCCACCCAGGCTCTAACCACAGCAATAGCTTCTACTGCATCCCAGCCCATGGCTGCAGCTTTGACAGATAATTCTTTGACTGTAGAAGCCAAGACCAAGAATGTAATTGGTTTTCGTGGTTTTTCTAACTTTCTTCTTTTAGAGGGAGGTGACTAGAAGAAGAAAGAAAGAAAGAAAGAAAAGAATTACAAGGCTATGCAGTATTAGTGGGGTGACTTTTGCCCTCAGAAGACTGTGATTCCATAAGACAGGAGGATTAAGAGTGTAACATAAGGCACTGAGCAGTCATTCATATGGCTCATGCTCCACTTCACCCCCAGGAGTTCCAGGCTCAAACCAGCTAACTTTATGCACTTTATGCTAGCCTGATGGACAGAGGGAGTTTATCTTCAGGTATTAGACAAAAAGCTTCATTGGTTCCTTTAAACTATGAGCTCTCCATGAGCTGAGAAAGTGTGGCTGCTCTTGGGAATAGAGGCCAATTGCCAATATCCACCTTTTGATCCAACTGCACTGAAGGTCTACTTGCATCTGCCTTAAGATTGGTTATTGTCTATACCTGTATTCAAATACACAAACATCCAGACCCAAAAAAGCAACTGGCTCACATTTAAGGTGAACAAGCTCCACTTACATTCATGTAGGCAAGTCTGAGTTAGATGTGGTCATACCTATTTGGTAATAGAACCCACGTTAAATTAAAACTGAGTTCTCAGAAGGAAGTGTAAATTCAAATCCAGCCCCAAACTTAGCATATTTTTATTACTACTAAACTGCTATTTGAGGTATGTTACAAATGATCCTTATTTTCACTGAAACCCACAGGAAGTTCCTACAACAGCTTCCTTTTTCCACCCTCAAAAAGGGCCACTCCTGAATCACGTCACAACTGCTAACAGACTGGCAGCCATCTAAGAAATTCCACTGTCCATACAGCCCAGCATATCCAATATTCCAGTCTGAAGAAGAACAGTTTGTATCACAGTAGTTATAGCTCATTAGCCCCTTCCTCAAGTAAGAGGCACAGAGAATCACAAGCAAACCAGAATTAAGCTACTTACAGGTACTTGCACATCATCATAGAAACTCCAGGCCAGTGCCCATCTCATGGTGCGTCCCTGGCAGAATTCAGTGTGAGTGACTTTAGGGACCTATGCAAAGAAGCAATACATTATTTCAGATTAATAAACAACACTGTTTTACTGCACACATTTCCAAACAATGCATATTTTCTCATTATACAAATGGAGATTCTTTCTGACGTGGCTCAGAGGTGTCAGGGCCCTCTCTAATTTCTCTCCCTTTACTAAGACTGAGGAGCAGCAGTTCAAGGATAGAGAAGGAAAATCAGATATTTTGTACCTAGCTCAGCATATGCTTTTGATAATTAATCTTCCTGGGAATTTATTTTACCATGCATTCTCTTTCCTTCCACTGTATACAAGGACAGATCTCACTATTACTTTCTTTGTATGGGAATTAGTGAACAGTATGCTTCCTCCAAAAAGCCATCCAAAAGTCCTTTGCACAGCCCTCTTTAATGAGAATAGTAGCACAAGGTTCCATTTTACTTGGTGCCAGAATTGAAGACAAACAAAACAATGCCACTTAAATCATGTTACTATTTCTTTTATCAACCAATTTGCTAGATTTCACATTAGCTAAGAGGAAAGAAAGCTAGATATTTTTTGGTTTTTGGTGGGGTTTTTTTGTTTGTTTTTTGGGTTTTTTTGGTGTTTTTTTTTTTTGGTTTTTTTTTTACTACAGCCTTGTTAAGGCTATTTATTTTAAAGTAGAAACCTTGAATCTCCTAGAATGAAGACATGCTCCAACATGTGCTAAAGACAAAACTTTGGAGATAATATTTGCTACTTATCTGTCAGTTTTGAATCTACAATAGTTAAACCCCAGTTGTTTCCCTAACAAGGAATTGCAGTCCCTTTTTGTAAAAAAAAACTCCCTGAAATAATTCAATAATTACCCACATACATTGAAGCATACTACATTCTGTATAGAACATAAGCAGGATATACAGGGACTCTATGCATACTCACCCCCTGGATTCGAAGTTCTTCTTTCAGTGGTGCTAAACTGCATTTCTTCCCCAACATGCAACTGTACCATCTGCAAAGCACACATTACGAGATTAAAAACCAAAACAACAACAACAAGAAAAAAATCACACTTAAACAGAGTGACTAGGACATAGCACAACAAAATTCAGAACAGAAGGTCCAAAGACAGACTGGACAAGGAAACCTTTTTGAGCTTTTAAGAAATACATTCGGAGTATTTTAGAAACAACACATGAACTATGAGGAATCTTGTTTCAAAGAGTGACTTCAGTTATTGGGAAGATGTTACAAGAATTTGTTTTGAATTCTCCACTTTCTTTGGAGAATGAATCAGAACAAAAAGGAATCACCAACTATTGGCAAGTAATCATGCTCAAAAGCAGAATACTGACTATCACTTGGGCTCACTTATCCAGGTTTCCATCATATAAGCCAAATTTAATGATGAAAAAAATCAGGAAAAAAAGGGAAAAAAAGTTATTTTCCCACTTCGAGTGGACCTTATCCTTCCACCCAGCTCCACATCTTTGGAATCTCCCAAACATGACTTTAGATGAAGCTCTGTTCTTCGTCTAGATTATTATTCAAGCTTTACAACCTCATCTTCCACATTTTTTGATGACTGGATCCAAAAAAGCTTATTCATAAATATAACACATTCAAGTACAAAACTTAAGATTTCCCAGTTATCAAAGGAGAGTTTTGTCCAACACTGGAGCAGTGGAAGCCTGATGATACAGTCAGAAAATTGAAGACATGCCATCTGTTTCAAAATAAGGTCAAAAGAAGGTCTCCCAATAGTTTTTTTATTGCAGCTTATGTTCACCCAAGACAGCATTCAGTACAACAGTGTCCTTTAACAGGCAAAGCTGCAAGTTACCAAAATTCAGCCAGGAAAAGATAGAGATTTTTAGGTAATCAACAGATAACTAAGCAATATCATAAAGCCTCTTCCATCCCAAAAATCCTCAAGAATGAACCCTGATCTGTCTCTTATCAGATACATGTGCTGATTTTGCTGCAAGCTACAAATGTCGTTTGTACTGGCTTTTTTTGTCTTATGCCTTTAAATACCTCCAGCAATAACTTCTAATTGCTGCTCAAGAACAATTGGATGTGTAAGTATCATCAAACAAACTGAGCAGATATCATTGGACCATAGGTACTCAACATTGTTGCATGACTTCTGCCAAAGATGAAGATAAAAGGTGTTAGTTTGGGTTTTTTTGACTGGAACAAAACACTTACCGTAACCTCTTTTTAAGTTGGAGACTATCATGAATAATTCTTTTGACAAATTCTAGTTCTCCTCCCTCAGCCATGATTTCTGTGATCCCTCCTGTATTTACGGAGCTGGGAGGGGGACGCCGTGGATTTCGAGAATTAACTCCCTGGATTTAAAAACCAAAAACATTTGACATGAACATTTAATAAGATGTTATGCTGCTTTGTACACTGCTTCCTATCTTAATCTTTAGGGGGCAGCAAGCACCACCACCTCTACTCATCCTCCCACCATCAGAACTATGGATAACAAAGATCCATTCAAAATAAACATACCTGAGTGAATTCCCCACAATCTCAGACCTAGGTAAGCTACTTGTCACATCAGGGTTCCGCTAATATGAAATATGTGGTTCCAATACATGTAAGACATGCTGAGTGTATCTATGCAATTACAATCTGTAGTGCTTAATTAAATCTAAAACCTTCTTCTCTACTGTCCTGCATTATTCATTTCTGACTATATTCAGTGGTTATTGCAAAACCTGTGTGATACCATCAACGTGCCTAAGGAAATTAAAAATACAGTTAAGCAAAATTCCAGGAACTAATTCCTCTGTACTACAGAGGTGCCTGTTATGCAGCAGGCACCTGATTTCAGATTTACTGTCTGTTTGCTGAACAGACCTCGGCTGGGCAGACAGAAAATATTGCAGATAAATATTAATAAACAAGACCGAAGACCAAAAAACTCAAGACTCCAGACTCGTCCTCTGAAGCGCAGCCTGCCCAGAACCACCATATCAGGGCAGAGACAAATAACAGCGAACCCTGATACCTGGTGCCCCTGGGTGGGCACGAACTGGGTGGGCCCCGAGGCGGGCCACAAGCGGTGGGCTCCAAAGAGGAGAGCAAGAAGCGGTGAGCTGCAAAAGAGAACACCCAGGTGGGCAGCAACCGAGCGGGCAGCTCCCAAGCGGGCAGTTCCCGGAGCTGGACTCGTTCCCAGGAGAGCACTGATAACTCCTTGGGAAAGCAGCCAGAAGGGTCAGAAGAAGCAGCAGTCGCAGAGAACATCGCTCTCCACTTCTGCCAAAGAAAGCTCATACCAGAACAGCTTGGATCGGAATCAGAAAGGCGCCTCTGAATCCATCTCCTGCAACCTGCTGGACAGGGACCGGGAGCCTTTGGACTGCTCTGACAACAAGAATTCGGTGAGAAGGTCAAAAATTAAGAACATGGGGAACACATATTCACAAAAACAACTAGAGATTATGTCAGCCTTACAAGGCATGACAGAGGTTTACACAGCAGGGATTTCTAAAAAAGAGCTCAAAAAATTACTGTTATGGGTGAGATTTAATTATCCATTCTCAGAGACACGTTTGTTATTTGAACGGGGTTTCTGGCAAGAAATTAATAGACGTATATATCTCCTAGCTACAAAAAAGGATGAGACGGCTTTAAAACTGCTGTCTCCAGCAAGAATCATGTTAGAGGCTATCTCGGCTGAGTCTCGGAGATCAGCTAGACAATCACTTGATACAACTCCCACAGAGGCAAAGGTGAGAAAACGAGGCTCAAAGCAGAGCTTGGCTCTAGTCCCAGTTGGCCTGGGGGAGACAGCTCCCGAGGGAGGGGAGCAGGCAGAAACATCACTGCTTCCAGTCCCAGTACCCAGAAAGTCCAAGAGACCTCCAAAACGCCCTGAAACCCCAGAAACTGAAGGGGGCTCAGGCTCCGATTCAGACGCAGATACGATCCAAATCCCAGAGGAGTTAAGGTTTTCACCTAGCAAGATTGAGGAGTCAGGACATCCCGTAGGGACGGTCTCTCTCAATCCGTGGGAGCCAGAGGGGGATGGGACGGGAAAGGCGGCACAATCGGAAAGAGGGATTGGAGGGGGATTGGAAGGGGATGGGAAAACGCCTTCTCGCGGCAAGCGTGGCTGCGCGACGGCGGCGGTCGCAGCCGGCGGGGGGAGCATGGAAGCGGTGGGGGACGCGAGTTCGGGTGCGAATTTTGCAAGCGCAGCACTGGGGGCACCGGCAATCTCGGCTGGCGCGGTGCCAAAGACGCGCGCGAGGGGCGGGACACGCGGGACGTCCAGAAAGAGCTCTCAAGTCATAAAGTCCATGTCAGACGCAGGCAGTAAGCTAGGAGCAGCTGCAGAGCTCCACACAGCACCCGTAGGTAGACGCAGGACACATGCAGTGATGATGCAGGACCCGGGAGTCGAGCCGCGGCGATCCGCTCGCATCGCAGAGAGAATGCAGGCACAGGCAGGGCGAGGGCTGTACGCACGGGCGGAGGGCGTGGATACAGCGTCAGAGGAGGAGGAGAAAGAGTCAGGAACAGACACTAGGGAGGAGACATCAGACGCGGAGCGGGACAGAGACAGTGACATCAGTCCAGGGGAGACAGGAAGCATTCCCGAGAGCTCGCACATGCGGAAAATGCGGACGAAGCGCAGTCGGGGCGTGTCCAATCCTCTGTGACGTCTCAGGCGAGGAGGGGCCGTTCTCGGGGTTCCACATCTCGGGGCTCCACCCCCTCTCCGGTTCCGGTTTCCTCTATTCCAATCCCTGTGGTTCAAACCTCTCCCATCCCAGGGAGGCCTTCATGTATTAAACCTCCATTGCTAGCTCAGTCAAAATTCGTGCAATCTCGGTTCCAACCATCACAACTGCTGCACTCAGTCAACACGGCTGAGGAGCCAATCGAGTTTGTGACGTCATCATGGTTGTCCAAGCAGATGACAGCGCCACCTCATGGGGGGAGGACTGAAATGCAGGACATGCCAGACCTGGTCGGCAAAGCCACAGCGCCATCTCGTGGTGAAACTGCAACGATGCAGCAGTTTTTTCCAACAACATACAAAAAGAAGACTACATCAAAGAAGACAACAAAAACACGACAAATGAATTATCCATCAACTTTGGAATTTGAAGACACATCACATGAAGCACAACCAGAAGAAGAAGACATGATACAAATTACAGCATCAAAGGGAATTCCAGCATGGATGTTTTCAGCAGCACAAGCAGCAAAGAGTTTTCTACATCCATTTGATACAGCAAAGAAGACAAAGCAACAAGAGTTTCAAATTCCTCTTTCAGGTTTGAAAGGGAAGCCAAAAACTTCAAGTCAAAGAATGTGTGCCAGGGAATCATTGAAGACTTCAAAGACTCCATTGTTCATGCAATTGCCACAAGAGTTTCCAGAGGAAGAAGAACAACAACCAGTAGAGATGACGGATTGGAAACACATCAGAAAAATGTTATCCAAGGAGAAGGTTTTGCTACCAGGATCAGGAGATCTGACAATGCCAGTGACATATGATGCACAGGGTCAAAAACCAAGGTGGGAGAGAATGGATCATGATGTGATCAAAGACTTAACAAGGGCCATTCATCACAATGGGCTGGACTCACCATATTTCAAACAGCTCCTGAGGGGGACATTTAACATGTATGACCTTACACCATATGATATTCGAAGCCTTGTGTCAATAATCCTCACAGACACACAGAATCTAGTCTGGGAAAGAAGATGGCGAAGGTATCTCACAGAGTTGAGGAACAGTTATCAAGGTGGACTGAACGCGAACTTCACTGAAGCAGAGTTGGCAGGAGATCCTCCAGACGACAATCCAGCGGAGCAAGCAGTACGACTTCCGAGGCGAGTGTTGAATGACATCAAGGAAGCGGCGCGAAGAGCTATCTTGCAGATTGCTCCAGCAGGAATTCTGGACGTGCCATTCTCAACCATCAGGCAAGGTCCCACAGAACCATTCTCATCATTCATAGATCGACTTTCGCAAGCTGTGGATCGACAGGTGACAATCGAAGGTGCGAAGCAACCTCTTTTGGAAAGTTTAGCCTTCAGCAATGCCAACCCAGATTGCCAACAGGTCATCATTGCAATGCCAGGTCGGCCATCCTTGGCAGAGATGGTGGAGGCATGCAGCAAGGTGGGAACACCTCAGCATATTGCGTCGATCGTGAGGGATGAACTGAGAAGAGAATGGGAAGAACATATGAAAGAACACGCGGGAAAACAGTCGGAAGAAAAGATGCTGGAGAAAGTGTTTCAACAACAAAATGAAAAGATGGACAAAGTTCTTGCAGCCATCCAGAAGAAGAACAATCCATCAGGAGGACAATGTTACAAGTGTGGAGCATTTGGGCACATGAAGAAGAATTGTCCCCAGACACAAGCACAAGTGCAGGCACCAAAACCACAAAAACCGCTTTGTGCACGGTGCGGAAGAGGAAGGCACTCTGTGAAAGAATACTACTCTCAGACAGATGTGGAAGGAAATCCTTTACCGCTTCCGGGAAACGGGAAAAGGAGCGCGCTGACAGATCGCCAGTGCACAACGACACAAGTGATGGCGATGACACAAGAGCAAGCAAGACAGTCATCGGAGAACATCAAGCAGACACCCTCAGCAAAGTCCTCAGCAGATTTCCCAGCGACCCAGACATCCTTCCACCAGGAGCACAGTGCACATTGGCAGCTTCTAAATTAGTATGTTTCTTGGATGAAAGTCATGCAGAGATACCAACAGGTGTCCATGGAAATTCAAACAAGAAGCAGGATTTTTTAATAGTTGGACAAGACAAAAGTAGCATCCTTGGTCTCATTGTTTATCCGAGAGTTGTTTCAGCAGACAAGAATACAGAACTAACAGTTTTGGCAAAAGCTCTTCGTCCACCATTGATTGTAGCGGAAAACAAGCAAGTCATGAGAGCTTTCGCATTGCCACCACATGCCACTCAGCAAGTCATGTCAATTTTCGATGAAGAAGGGCATCCACTGAAGAAGCATGTTGAAATACATACCACATGGATAAAGCACATAGGTCGAGACTGACCCACACTGACATGTCAGTTGACTTGTGGAGACAGAACAATAGCAGTCAGAGGAATGCTTGACACAGGAGCAGATGTTACAGTAATATCATACATTTTTTGGCCACATGATTGGAGTTTGATTGTACCCTTGGGATCTCTCTCAGGATAGGGGGAGCTTCTCTGTGTTTGCAAAGTGAAAATTCTATCATTGTTACAGGACCAGGAAACAAGACGGCGATCATTCGTCCTTTTGTTGTGCAAAAGCCAATCACAGTCTGAAGAAGGGATCTTGTGGCACAATGGGGCACGAAGATCAAGTTGGATTTTTAGTCGGGGTCACTGCGCCACTTGCCGCACTGAAGCTGACTTGGAGAACGGATGTTCCAGTTTGGGTGGATCAGTGGCCCCTTGAACGAGAAAAGTTGAGTGCATTGAAGAACCTGGTCCAAAAACAATTGGAAAAGGGACACATCAAGCCAACAAACAGTCCTTGGAATTCTCCAGTGTTCGTTATCAAAAAGAAATTATCAGGTCAATGGAGATTGTTGCATGATCTCAGGAAGATCAATGAAGTCATTGAGGACATGGGACCTCTTCAGTTGAGACTTCCATCAGTTTCGATGATTCCCAGAGACTGGCCGCTCGTGATCATCAATCTCAAGGATTGTTTTTTCAGTATTCCACTTCACCCAGATGATGCGCCAAGGTTTGCCTTTTCTGTTCCAAGTATCAACAAGGAAACACCGCTGCAGCGATACCATTGGGTGGTACTTCCTCAAAGTCTGAAGAACTCTCCGACAATATGTCAATGGTACATGGCACGAGCTTTGTCACCAGCGCGGAAGAAATTCCCGAAGGTGAAGATCATTCATTATATGGATTATTTGCTCACTGCAGCATCAACACAAAAGGAGCTGCAATAGGCTCGTGATTGTGTGATTGCAGAAGTACAAAAGGCAGGTTTGGAAATCAGTGTCTCAAAAATGCAAGAGATCACACCTTGGAAATACCTAGGGTGGAAGATCTCGGAGAAAACGGTAAGACCTCAGAAAATGGAGATCAGCACAAAAGCCAACAATCTACACAATTTACTTCTAGGGGAAATCAACTGGATGAGACCAATTTTAGGAATCACGAACAGCGACATTCCAGCATTGCTCAATCTCTTGAGAGGGGACACAGCCATTTGATCTTCCAGGACGCTCACGCGAGAGGCAAAGAAGAAATTGGAAAAAATCACAGATGCTATTCAGAAGCGGTAAGCACATTGATTCATTGAATCATTGCCTTTTGAATTGGCAGTGCTGGGAAAGAAAACACAGTTCCACAGCTTGATCTTTCAATGGGATTCATCTCAAAGAGATTCTTTAATAATCATAGAGTGGATTTTCTTACCATACAGGCCTTCAAAAGCAATTCTCACAGATTTAGAGATGGCGGCACAGATCATCATCATCAAGGGAAGAACAAGATTGCTGACAATGACAGGACAGGAATTTTCAGTCATTCACCTACCTTTGAATTAAGATTATCTTGAATGGGCGATGCAGAAATCAAAAGATTTGTTAATTGCATTGTTAGCTTTTCCAGGAACTTACACAATTCATTTTCCACAGCACAGACTGTTGCAGTCACAAATATGTTACAGAGCAAAGCCAAGAATAAGTGAAGAACCTCTGGACGGGATCACAGTGTTCACTGATGGCTCAGGAAAGACACACAAGTCAGTGATCACGTGGATGAACTCAATGACAGGGGAATGGGACTCAAACGTGAAGATGGTTCAAGGCTCTCCACAGACTGTGGAATTGGCAGCGGTCATTCAAGCATTTGAGTTGTTCAAGGAACCTCTCAATTTGGTCACAGATTCCGCATATGTCACAGGTGTGGTCAGACGATTGGAGGGTTCACTTTTGAAAGAGGCCAGCAATGAAGTTTTATATTCATACCTGGCAAGCGTGAAAACATTGTTAGAAAGTAGGGAGCACAAATATTTCATCACACACATCAGAGCTCACACAACGCTTCCAGGATTTTTAGCAGAAGGGAATGCTCAAGCAGACAGATTGACAATGCCCATTTCACAAACACTTCCAGACATTTTTGAGCAGGCAGAACTAAGTCACACATTTTTTCATCAGAATGCACAGGCGCTGATGGAATCCTTTCGTCTCACAAAAACTCAGGCGAAGGAAATCATTAGTGCTTGTCCAGATTGTCAACTTGTACAGCCACCTGCTTCCACAGGAGCAGTCAATCCATGAGGACTGCAAAGTCTTCAGCTGTGGCAGGCAGAGGTCACAAAGTATCCATCATTTGGGAAGCTCAAAAGTGTTCATGTTTCAGTAGATACATTCTCAGGAGCGGTCTTTGCTTCAGCACACGCAGGGGAAACAGCAGATCACGCTTGTCGACATTTCCTGCAAGCATTTGCGTCATTGAGCGTGCCTCAAGAAGTAAAAACAGATAATGGTCTAACACATACAGGCAGGGTGCTTGACAAATTCCTGAAAAGATGGGGTGTCAGACACACATTTGGTATTCCATATTCACCTACAGGCCAGGCAATCATTGAGAGAACACATCATACTTTAAAATCTCTGTTAGACAGACAGAAAAAGGGGAACCAGAGGTGATGCCTCACATGCAATTAAATATAGCATTGTATGTGTTGAATTTTCTAAATAGTTCATCTTCAGAACCCAATCCACCAATCTTGAGACATTTTTCAAACAGTTCACAGGCAAAACTAAGGGAGAATCCTTTGGTTTTGATCAGAAACCCAGAGTCAGGCCAAACAGAAGGTCCTTTCAAACTATTCACTTGGGGCAAGGGTTTCACTTGTGTTTCCACAGGGCAAGGTCCAAAGCGGGTGTCGGCGCGACACATGAAACCATTCCGAAAACAAGAACAAGAGAGCACTGATCCCAGAAACACAGAGACGAGCACTCAAACAGAGGAGGAGATACAAGCTGTGAACTACAACTTGAAAGAAACAAAACAATAAAATAAAAAAATCTTTGAGGTTTTTTCTTTGGGATTTTGAGTGAAAAGATGGTAATGTTTGCTCACGAAGGTGAAGTTATGAGCTTCACGATGCTCATGTGTTTAATTTCATTGTCAATCGCTCTGAACAACAAGGCAAATTTACCTATTGATCAGCTGAAGAGAAATGTTTGGGAAGCTTTAGCCCAGGCAGCAATTTTAGATAGTGTCTGCCTGACACACTCCAGACCAGGGAGACCATTCTCGGCATGCATGATTGGGTTGCCAGTGAGCGAATGGCCGATTCCAGGACACACTGCAGTTGAGATTTCGCAGGTCGTTAAAGATCCTGTGAACGAGTGGTGTGCTTGGACACATCTTCTTCCTGTGGCTTCTACTGAACCTCAGGAATTGGAGATTTTCGGATCCATGACAATGGACATGTGCATGAAGTTTGAAATTTTAGATGCAGGAAAAACAAACAAAACCAGCGATGTCACTCCAAATCAAGAATTTTATAAAAATGCATTGGCCTGGTGCAAAAACATTATGATAACTTGGCTGCCTTGCTGAACAGACCTCGGCTGGGCAGACAGAAAATATTGTAGATAAGAATTAATAAATAAGACCAAAGGCCAAAAAACTCAAGACTCCAGACTCATCCTTTGAAGCGCAGCCTGCCCAGAACCACCTTTCCCGTATCGGGGCAGAGACAAATAACAGCAAACCCTGATAGTCTGTCTGGTTTCCAAACTCATTTTCTGAGACAGTAAGAATCTGTGAAAGAATGCCACAGCTCATTCTCCTCTTTAGGAGAGATAACAGTTAAGTTTTCAGAACTCTTTTAGGGGTTAGGTGATGAGGAAGGAGAAGACTTAAATACTATTCATGATGATTTGGGATTTTCCACTCAACCTTGCCCAAGCCAAGAGGTTAAATTGGAGGTTAAATTGTTGCTACCCTTTCAGTGACTACTGAAGTACATATAACACGCAGTTTGTTACCTTAGCTTCCAACTGGTTGGCAAAAAAGGGGGGGTTGCACATGCAGAAATCATAAATGATCTCAGATTCTTCTTTCAGTGCATCCATTAGAAGAGTCTTCTGTGGTACCTTAACCACTATTAGAAAAAGTGAGTTTGGTCAGTAAGGAGCTTTATATTTTATTTAACACGTTGTATACATTATACATTGCATAAAACCTGTACTTTCTAACCAATGCTTTCTGCAAAAGAGAAGTAACAAGTATCACTACACTAATAAAGACTTCAGGTCAAGGATTAGCATACAAACAGCCTGTATGTTTATACACAGAAACAGAACCACATGAATCTGTTTAAAACAACAAGAACTTATCGCAAGTTCTCCAATACAGCCACAAATGTGCTTTAAGCCTTAAAACTACGGGCACTAAAGCTTCACATGAGGCCTGTTCCTTTGCCAGCTGCTTTTCCAGTGTATTGAAACACCACCACACCACTAAAAATCAGTGGCAGCAATGACAGAAAACTCTCGTTGTTCTCCATATCAAGTCTGGATCTTCAAGACTGACACGCACAACAGATTAAGACATGTTCAAATGGATGCTTCCAAAAGTTTTTATTCAGAGCTCATGGATGGACCTGATTTTTACTACACTGAGTTCCTTCAGAAAATTTTCCAACCTCATTCCCAGACCAAGTCTGGCATACTGCCTCTGCTATCACAGGTAGTATCAGGACTTCATTCAAGAACTGCGGATGAGGAACTCTCTGTACAAGATACACCTTTGAGGCAGTGTCATGCAATTATCCAAGGGGAGCATTCCAGGTCCCCTACCAGCAGAAGCAGCCCAAACACTAAGAAATACTTCAGTAATAGACAAGGAATACAGAGAGTAAAACCCCCCAGGGTGAAGTTTAACTTTCAGATTTTCATAAGGAAGAGTACTTCTCTACCCACACATCCCAGGCTAGGTAAGGCAGCTTTTTGGCTTAAGCATATACTGACTTCAATAAATATTCTGCTCCAGTAAAAATAATTGAGCATGTATTTGGAAGGAATACACATTCTGATATGCCACTGAACATGGCAAAAATATGCCACAACATTCATTTGCTAGTAAATACCTTATTACATTGTACCTTTTATGAGATCAGACAAGTTATTCTGTTCCACATTCTTCTTGGCATAATTGAAGCACATGTCATCCACTTCTGTTGCAAGGAAATACCAGCCATTCAAAGTTGCTCCAAGTAATGGGTATATACAGGATGCCCCTGTCCCTGCAGCAGGGAAAATCCATGAAAAAGGAAAAGTAAGTACTGGTGCTATACACAGTGTGGCTGTTAACTATGTACTTATTACACCAAAAAGAACTAACTTCAAGAAAATGCTGATTATTGATCATCTACAACTCAATTCTTTACTGAACTTAATTTTTGTAATTTGAAAAATAGCATTGTCAATATGCACTTTTAATAAAAGAAAAAATTTAATAATCTGTTATAAATTTTCTAGTAAACTATCAGCTTCGGTTTAAGCTATTTTTCTTCCATATTACAATGGTTAATTTATATAAAGAAAGCCAAATACATTCTGGCTTTATTAAAACAAAAACCCTACCAGACATAAATTTCTCTTCTGCACTTTTCTATCATCTATCACAAATAATTTACTTTGATTAATACAATAACCACAAAAAAAAAAAAAAAAATCTGTTCCACCAGACTGCCTTTTTCTGATGTCTGAAACAATCAAAGAAACCTAAGTGTCAATTAACATATTCAAAAACAGAGACAGACAGATAAACACTTGGTAAAAAAGAGAGAGATGCTAGTAAAAAAGAATTATGGCATATATAGATGATCAAATTATCAATGACAACCAAATTTAGGATTAAAGGAAATGGATACAAGAAAAGGGAAAGACATCCCACCCCCACAAAACTAAGAGTTTAGACATGTATTTAGAATCTGTTACACTGACTTATTGAACCATCAATAACTTCATCTGTCAGTAGGCAAAAAGCTTCACTTTGCCTAGCACTTCTGTCAAGTTCCTCTTGGAGGACTTCCTGCTTTTCCAAAGCTGATACATCAAAGCTCATGCAAACTCAAACTGAAGATTTTGCAGTATGTGGAGGACTTAGAGGATCTGTCTCTTCTACTCAGCCACCTACTGTGATGAAGTTCATAGAAATCATTTTCAGAAATGAAAACTAGTATCAAATGCACAGAAGCTGCCTAAGAAATGTCAGAGTTACTAGAAGAAAGCTGCTGTGGACACACATGTGGTGACGCAAACCCAGTATCCAGCACAGCTCCAGCTAAAAATACAAGTCAGTAAATTTCAGGAGAACAAAAAATCCCATTACAGAAAGTTGTGCTAGCAGATGCCAAGAAACATAAAATCTGACACAGTAACAGAGATTACTGAACCTCAGCTTTGAGGAATTCAGTAACTTTAAAGTTTTAATGTCAAGCAGTAAAACAGGTTACAAAGGAAATTCCAACTTCTCTAAATTTCATTCTACGTTCAAACACTGTTCAAAACAGTGTTTGAAATCAAGCCTCTGAAACTTCAAAGGAAGATTCTATTGACAAAATGAAAGATGTGAACTAAATTCAATTGTACTATCACTAGTACCTTTTAAATAATTCATACAGAATAACCAAAGACTGGGAATCCAAATGCCAATTTTATTATTTGTGTGTGGAAGCTCTTACAGAGCATGCCTTTCTTTTATTTCCAATGAAAACCAAATTATGGCCATCAGTGTAGATCGTATAAATTCACACCTCTGCTGTTTACATTTATCTGCTGCCTAATCTAGATATCATCCTGATATTACCCAGTAATCCAGACTGAAAGTGGACAGTATCATCTATCTGTTGATGCTTGGTCCAACTTAAAAGACATTTTATTCTCAACAATAAACAATAAATCTTTGACCATCTACAAGCAAAACACAGCTTAGCTAGCATTTGCCCTGGTTTCTAATTTGGCCTCTTTTACAATTCAGCTCACATATATAACTGCGTTGAAATAAATTAAAATAAAAATTGAAATTTAAAAAGGACAGATCATTCACTTATGTCAAATACACCTGTAACAACACGAAAAAATGTTATTAAGTGGAATAGCAAAAAAAAAATGCTATGCAACTCACAAACTCTCTGGTGCAGAGAGAGAGTTTCACAAAAGCAAAATTAATAAATTATGAAGAAAACACAATTTGCTAGTTAGAACACTGAGAAGAAACACTTTTTAGATCCTTTAGAATTACATTTTTGCCTGCATTTCTAGCAGCACAGTTTTTGTACACCGCACAAAGCTGCACTCAAGTGAGTTCAAGGCCCTGAAAAGCCACATAATTGCGTGCCTTGGCTGTTCTGTGTTTGTGCAGAGAAATGCTGCCCACCCACAAGGACCATGAAATACCTGTGGAGCTCAGGCTGCCTCCCACCACAGCGAGCACACGCGTGCCTTGGCTGTTCTGTGTTTGTGCAGAGAAATGCTGCCCACCCAGAAGGACCATGAAATAAATACCTGTGGAGCTCAGGCTACCTCCCACCACAGCGAGCACAAATCAGATCCCTCTGCTCCTCAAACCTGACGTTTTCCTGTGCAATGAATTCTATCTGCTACTATCTCTGATGGTAAATAAGAACTTAAACATTTAGCTTTACCTATGTCAATGCCTCGTCTCAGGGTTTGCTTGTCAGCATCCCGGTGGCCGATGAGATCCTCCACCCAGTGGATGTAGTTCAGCCTCAAAGGGACGGTGGGGATGAGCCTTTCCACGGGGATGTCGATCGTCAGCCCGAAATCCTCCTTCAGGAGGGTGCACGTCAGAGCCCTCACGGCCTCGGGATCCTTGAAGTTCAGGCTGAAAGGCACACGCGGAGCTCTCACGGGTGCCCGGGGGCGGACACACCGGGGGGACACACCGGGGGCACCCACCCGCCCCATCCCGCCCCGGCCGTACCTCACCCTGCCCGCCAGGGTGGTCTGCACGTGCTGCTGGAACTCGGGGTACTTGCCAGCCAGGTAGGCGAAGTCGGGGGGCTTGTCCTTGTAGCGGTTGCGGGCGTGCATGGACTTGTTGAGGGCCATGGCGGGCCGGGAAACGCCGGGAAGAGCCGGGAAGTGCCGGAGCGGCGGGAGCGCGGCGCGGGATCACGGCCGCACCCCCGCGCGCCGGCCGGGCCCGCTCCCGGCGGGCACCGCGGCCCCGCGGGCCGTACCAAGACGCGGCGGATCGCGGGGGGGGCTGCCGGGCGCCGCCACTATCGGAGCAGCGCCCGCCGCCGCGGCGAGGGCAGTGCCGCTGCTGAGGCGGAGAAGTGACCGCTGCGGTTCCATAGAATCCTGGAGTGTCATGGGTTAGAGGGGACTTTAACAATTATCTAGTCCCAACCCCTCTGCGAAGGGCAGGGATACCTCCCTCTGGGCCGGGTTGCTCAAAGCCCCATCCAGGCCGGCCCTGGACGTGGCCATGGTTACCCGCACAGCCGCCCTGGGCAGCCAGTGCCTCACCGCCCTCACGGCAAAGAATTCCTCCCCAATACCCAGCCTAAATTTCCCCCTAAATTTCAATTTACTTCTTGCCCTATCACAACAGTGACAAAGAGTCCCTCTCCAGCTTCTCAGAAGGCCCATACAGTTAAAATGTAAATGTTCTATATACAGGCATCATCGCTTCAGCGTTAGATACTCAATGAGTAATGAAGACAAATAAATTAAATTACATGAACAGTTGTGTTTGTCTGGGGGCTGCTCTGTCCATGCAGCACCATGAGGAGCCTCCACTCCCATCTTCACATATATTACCCACCCAAGTCACTTTTGTTACCTTGAAGGAATCTTCAGCATTCCCTGAGACACCTCATAGCCATGGATTTCTGTAAAATTCCTGCATGAAGCTAGGCCGAAAGAATGCTTGGTATTTGGGATAGTTTAGCAAGCTAGAATGTTTATAGTAATGGGGATCAGTATTTGGAGTTTCTAAGATACCTATATAGATAAGATTTGTACATACATGTTCATACAAGCTCGGGCTAAGCTCTAGTGAAGCAATATCAATAAGGCTGTTACAGCGATTAGTGCTACAGCTGGAATGGTATAAATATGTGCACTTTGGACAAAACGACAGACCTGGATTTGGGTTGCTAATACCCCCAGTTCCTGCACACCTCAATAAAGCACCTGCACATAATCTGTCTGTGGTTACGTGTGCTCCCAAATGCTAATAAAGCCACTGGCAACCAAGCAGTGGCCTGGGACCTCTAGTAATTATCATACTCTTGTGCTTGTTGAACATAAATTATGAAAGAAGAAGTGTGTTACAGTGAGCTTTGTACTGCCTCCGATTTAAAAAAAAAAACCCAAAGCAACAATATCATCCTCAATTAAAATAGGATGTAGGCATAGCAAAACAAAGCCTCAAAGTGGGAATTAAAACTGATGTCAGTTCCTGGCTTTGTCACTGACAGTCAGGAACTTCCATGTTTCAAGTAGGAAACTTTCAAGTAGAACAGGAGTAGTTCTGCCTTATTTAACATGGTGCTCTGGTTCATCAAACAAAAACATGTAAAATGAACATTAAAGTATAACCTATTATTTAAAGATACTTTCCTGTTTAAAAAAGCCAGATACAAATCCAAATGACTATATTGCTTAAAAATTCACTCTAAATGTGCTGGCATTCATATTCTTGAATATCTGAGAAGACCTGCAACTGGATTTCATTTACATCCTGCCTACTTCCTGCCCTCAGCTAGCTTCTTGTGATGTGAGGTCAGCTAAGTTTTGCATACCAAAATATATAAAATATGGGTTTAAAAAAAAAATACACAAGACCACCAAGCCATCCACTCTTGACACTTCTATAAGTTATTCCCCTTCCTCTGCCCCCAGCCACAGTCAAAGAAAAGAAGCTGATATGAGCAAAACCAGAACAGAGGTAAAAATATTCACTTTAATTCAGAACATTTAGTGTATTTACAATAGAAGGTTCCTCTCTGATCAAGGGATTAGAGACTGAAATAACACATGTTACAAACATGTGGACAACCTGCACCTGGTGCAGGCTAGTTGCATGTTTCTACATCTGGTTCTCCCAGGTTAATTCCGGTGAGAAAGTGATGGGGAGAGCCTGGAGATGGTACCGAAGGGCTCCCACAGCCAAGCAGCAATCACAGAACACAGTCTGGGAAGTAGTGTGCAGTTATTCAACAGTTGCTAAAATATCTGTACAGACACGTACACAGTCCCATTTGCAGTTAGATTCATGGAATCATCCATATGTAGATAAGCAGGTAGACACAAGCCTACCAGCCTGTGTGCCAGCGCAGATTTGCAGAGGTGCTCGTGCTACCTGTGCTCATGCATAGGTACCACCTCCCCCAGGCAGATGCACACACTCCTTGCCACCCTGCACTTGGACAGACACACAGGCAGGTGTTTTGTTAATGCTAATTTACATGATTTCTAGATACAGAAAAAAAAACTTGAGGAAAAAAGCACCAACCCTCTCATCTGACTCACTGGCTTGGAATTCTTACTCCTCTGGAACCTGAGGGACATGGTGTGGAAAGGATAGTGTCATCCCGTTCCTCGCAGAGAGAACCAGTTCTCAGTCTCCAGGAGTCTTGCTACAGCCATACCTACTAGTTGCTACCGAGAGGGGGCAATCCTCTCCCGCTCCCAGGAATAGGCACATCCTCCCACCACTTCCTCTGAGTCAGATTTAGCAATCAAAAGGCTGCAATATGAGCCACTTCAACTGGTTGATCTCGCAGAAAAATAGATCTGCAAGAAGTGAGTGAGTACTTTAACATCTGAACAGTCAGCTTAACCAAAGCACCCTACAAGTTTACCCACCACACGATGTGTGGAGTATCTGTTTCAGCAACAACTTGTTCATAGAAGCTGATCTATGATCAAGTCACTCAGAGCTCCTCTTTGCATCTTGGTCAGAGTTCACACACCACTTTCTTTATGAGGTGCTTCCCCTCCTTGGGAGAGGAGGTGTTGAGGAGGTCTGCCGTGCCTTAAAGGTTGAACTACGTGGTGGTTAAGAAGCAAACCTCAGCCTTCCTCCAGCATAACCTGCTGCTGTCTCCAACAAAATCAGCTGACGAGTGTTACAAAGATGGGGAAATATGAGGAAAGAAAGAGAGCTATGATCCCCTCTTAATAGTCAAAGGCAGCTAAAGCAGAAGTAGATTAAAGGGGGTTGTGGAGGCTGCACGGTTGAGGAGAGTTCTGGTTTAGCAAAGCTTCTTGAACAGCGTCACTGCAGCCACTGAGCTCCATCTGGTTGAGAACACAGCTGATGTGCTCCACAGTGGCAGCACGGCCCAGCTGCAGTCTCCACAGTCGGAGCATTTCGTACTGGGCGTCTCGCAGGCGCCGGTGCTCCAGCTCAATCCGCTCCAGGTCGTAGTCACTCAGGCCCAGGCGCCGCACAAACTCCTTCCACCGCGACGGTGGCACGTGATCCACCACGGTGTACAGGATAGCAGGGTCTGTGAACACAGAGGGAAAACACTGAGAAGCAAGATTCTTCGACCTCAAGGAGAATGTGAATAATCCAGGGCTGGAGGTTGCCCTGCTATTTTGCATTGCCCTCTCTTGTTCAAGTGTTTTCCAGTTCTCCAGAGTAATCACAGAGACTCCAGACTTGCTCTTGTCCCTCAAAATGTAATGGGAATGTTTTCGTATGCTCTTGTGTAAGGCTATGAGCAGAGTCAAGCACATTTGCTTAGGGCCTTGCTGCCATACATTCTTGAAAAAGAATGAATTATTGAAATTATTCTGGGTCACCCCAGAGGCATTAAGACTGACAGCATATCAATACATATGACAATCCATTTTGCTGGTAGGGAAAAGGGACAACAGAAAGGCCTTGCACAAATGTTTAGCATATACAGACTGACAGGCTCTGGGCATGCTTCTGCCTTTCTATGCGCCATGGGCACATATCCAGGTCACAAACACTAGGTAAGGTCTGTCCAGCATACTCCTAGATGCATCTGCATGATTAGGTTCCCGTTTGACTGGGGAAGGAGAGAAGAATGAAGGAGTTTCACTTACTGTCTGGAAGCTGTGTCTTCCTGGCAGGTCTGACACAGTCTGGTAACTCATGTGAACTCTGTGGCAGGGGTGCAAATGATAGCGTTGCCTTTAATGGCAATTCTGTTTCCTTCTGGGACTCAGGAGGAAGGGTGGAAATTTCATTCATTTTCTCGTCAACCTGAAAGACACATTACATGGAATTACCACAGCAGCACAATACACCTGTCTCCTGCAAGTAACCACTAGCTTTATATGCTAAAATTTATCCAAGATAGATGGGGAGTGGGTGTTGAGATTTTACTCCTTCCCACATGCCTTGTTTCAGCAGAGGACACCAAACATTTCTTTCCAGCAGAACCCAAAGAGTTTAACTTTCTTTTGGCACCACAAAACAAGGAAAAAGTATTTCTTTACAAAATCGAGTAAGGCTGGTACCCAAAATAACCACCATTTTAGAAGCTCCACATGCCACCTTTCCCATCAGCCTCCTCTGTAAGGCTGTGGAAACCCCACTTCAACTGCGGTCTGGGCCCTCTTATTTGCAGAGTTACCTTGGACCTGAGAGAATACTCTGAAGCAGCACTGCGAGGCTTGTGGAGTCAAGATCTGAAGTGGAGTAAAATTAGTTAAATCCTCCAAGCTTTGGGTACACAGAGAGAAAAGGGGATTAAGGACCAACTATATGAACAAAATGCATCCAGGGAAAAAAAAAAAAAAAAAAAAAAGCCAGGAGTTTGAAAAGCATCCTCTAGAAGAGGGGAAGTAATGTGTTTCTGGCTCCACCCTCTACAGGAAAAGACTTCTGAGTTAGACAGCCCTATTACTCAGCTCACTTGAAAATACAAGGACTGAAAACAGCCCATGGGGAAAAATATTACTCCAGATCCCAAGCTAACATATTTGAAAGTGGAAGGTAAGCTCCCATCATCTTGCTCACCTGTGATACCGGCTCCTTGGTTGTCTGTGGCAAAGAAACTTCAAAGAAAGAAAAAAAAGAAAGCAGAAATTATTTTCACTTCCTCTCGTCCCAGAGAAAACAGGAAAGCAGCTATTCACAATCCTGTCCTCAAAAATGTTTTATAGCAAAATACACATCCCAGAAATAAGGTCATGTGCACTTCCAGTCGCAGCTACAGGTCTGGATGCAGAACTGCAACAAGAGCCTTGGCTGTTTAGTTCTTGTGCTACTCTGGCCTTGCAGCAGAGCAGAGTAAGGGGATCCCATTTTGTCCCTCACACACGTGCACACACAAAACCACACAGAAATCGGTGTCTGTCCCAGTCCATATCACTGCACGTGCCGCTGTACTCACCACAGGAGTAGAAAGACACTGTCTTGTATTTCTGGACCAGCTTCCCTACTTTACGTGCAACACAGAGGACGAGGATAACTCCAAATATTGCAACAAGGATGCCAAGTACAAGGTTTCCATCTGGACAAAAGGAAGAGAGCAAATGCATGAGTGACTAAGAAAAGAGGAGGTAAGTGCTAGAGGAAGAACAGCAAGTGGAGATTTGCAAATGGTAGGGAGAAAAAGGATAATGGTTTGACAAAGTGGAAAACATAACCCTTTACAAAAGGCATTAAGAGAACAGCACCCCACAATGAAAAGATTCCACTGCCCTTCAGTCCCCCGAGCACTCACTCAGCCCAGATGAAGTCGGTGAGGTAGTGACTGGACTAGGACACCGCAAGCAGTCTTCTCCCGTGCAGCTGAAAGGGTGAATCAGAGAGGTGAGCACACGTGCAATGAAACTCTAGCCTTTTCCAACCACCCTAATTAACAGACAAGTCAAGACGAGCCTGCAAAGCAGAGCAATGCAGTGTGACTAGTGACTTTGGGCTCTTAGTGGGCTGTTGCCTACATGGAGGAGACAGGGGGTGAAGACCTACTTGCCCCAGAAAGGCAATTAGACTGTTGTAAAGTTATGCCTAAATAGAAAGAGTCATGAGAAGAATTTCCTCCCCCTGTGGAGCTCCTGTTTTCTCTCCTACTCAGTGGTGGGGCACACAGAGTAAAAAAGCTCACCTGTTGCAAGGCTTGCAGATATTACTACGTGACAGGAAGAATTCAGGCTTACATCTGCAAATGGCATCTTTGTTCTTTGAACCTGCAGAAGAAAGAAAAAAAAACAGAAACTGTTGCCATAATCTGGACAAAGAAGAAACGAAAAAAAATCCACTCCAAGAGGGATGAGAGATTATCCTTTTTTAAGCCTGGAAAATGGCTACTGAAGAAGAGATAAAGGATTTAATCTACATATAAAAACAGAGTTGGGGGAGGATAAAAGTAATAAAAGTAAGAGTGCCACTGTCCTGATGGTGGACACCTCTGTAGAGGCCTGGAAAGGGACTGTAATTACAGAGCAGCTGGAATTAGTGTAATATGCAAAAAGCAGTAAAAGTCACCCAAGTTCAAGCATGACAGGAAGGGGAAACCACATAAGTCAGGCCAAGATGAGGGAGAAGTGGTCCCTGAGCAGCTGGGACTGGTGAGGAAGTCAGTTCAGGGAAGGGAGAAATCACTTCAAGTCATGGGACACATAAGCACTCTTCTGATGTCGTGAGTGGAAGGGGTAAGAAATGAAAGAACTATGACTTCTAAGCAAGTCACAGGAGAGAGCCTGAGTAAAACAAGTGAGGGGAGGAGCAGGCAAGAACAGTGATGGAAGGACATCCAATTGCATGAGAGAAGGAGAAAATCTACTACAACAAGGAGCATGCATTCTGTGGTGAGTGAGGGAAGGGAATAAAAAGTTCTACATCAGCCAAGAGGGAAGGAAGCTGCTCAAAGACAGTGTGCAATCATGACCCTTGAGGAGAGGCTTAAGTGTGGAAACTGTGACGAGATGATTGAGCACTAGAGGGAACACATTCACCAGTGAAACAGCAAACCTCACACTGGGCAGGGTAAGAGATGGGAAAGGGATCAGGAGCAGCATAGTTTGCAAAGAAGAGAGGATAGCTTTAAGACAAGGTAAGATGTGGGAACAGCTGGACTGGAATCATGGGCCTGCTGGATAATTAAAGAACAATGACTAAATTAATTATAATGGTATCTTTGGTACAGATCATGACCAGCTGAATAAGATGTTGAGAGGGGAGTGTGTGTCCTTGGGCTGGAAGACAGCCACTAAGGAATGTGTGTAAGTGCAGATTTGGAAGACCAGTCAGCATGTGAAAGGGCATGGATGTGTGATGTCTTGCTCAGCCACACAGTCAGATCTGCCTGTGCAATCTTAAAGAAGAGCTACTTAAGGAAATAAAGTCAACTCGTGTTGCATCCAATACTGACTCGTGCTTTCTCAGTCCTCACATCAAAAGAAGACATTTAAGGGACATGGAAACAGTGTGCAGTGTTTGTTTAAGATCTCTGATTCCTGACTGGAGATGAGGCACCTTGGAACAGCTAACATGAGTACTTCTCCCAGACACCTTGGGCATCATCCCAAGGTAATGCCCAATGCCACTGGCTGTAGTTCAGCAATACTAGCACCTCTTTACTTTGGAACACTGCACAGAACACTGTGGCTGCCCAGCAATTGACTGATAAGCAGCTCAGCTGAGCACAGGGGCCAGAGGTATTTTCATCCATCATACTCAAGTGCTTCCAGCAGTTGGTAGAGGAAATGCAGTGAGCATCAGGAGAAAGACAAACAAGGAAGGCAAGGGGAAACCTGCTCTAGAACATAAAAACCTTGCTTCAGGATAGGCAAGGCAGAGGCACCAAAATTAAGTACAAAGTAGCTCCTCACAACAGCCAAAACCAAGAAACCATTCAAGGACAAAAGAAAGCAGCTATGATAGGAAACAGGGATTCATGCCAGAGCAGGCAAAAAAATAGCAGTCTTTCTGGGGAAAGAGGGCAGACAAACCCCAGAGTTGTTCCAAAACTACCATCCTTTCAGTGCATGGCACTGCAGCATATCAGAAAGTCTACCCTACAACAGTACATCTGCACTGGAGCCATATCCATGCCATACTCACAGCTGGCAATAATCCCATCGGCGCACGAGCTGCAGTTCCTACACTGGAAGTATTCAGACTCAGAATCAATCTGATACTGATTCTTCTGACAGCCACATACAGTATCTTGCTTTGGGGTGCAGGGGGTCTCTACTATCTGCTGGAGTGCTGAGGAAAGAAAGGAGAAATAATTCCAACCTCTTCCTTCACTTTCCACTGAGAGCACTGTTATGATCATAGGCATTGTCATCCCCTAATTTTCACAGAAAACGGCCAGAAAGGCCTGCAAACTGTATCTCAGACTGTTCCAGTTCGGTAACCCTTATTCCTGCTGTCCCCAGTCCACCCCCATACACTGTCTTACCCATTCAACTGCTTACTTTTCCAAGCTCCCTCGCTCACCTTGCCATCCCCTCCAGCCCTCATCCACTCCCATTTTCCTCAGATCCTGCAGGTCTGACAGCGACTCACCTGCACGGCAGCGTTTGCACTGGAAGCATTTAGACATGGTGTTGTCAACAGCTGTGAATGTGCCATTGGCACATGGAAGACAAACAGTTGCCTGGTCAGGCCCATCACAATCTTTTGCCTTGTAGGTACCTGCAAGAAAATCACTTAAGAGAGCTCTGACAGGGTGGCAAATGCCTTGTCTTAGGGAGGACAGGAGTTCACTGGTTCCTCAAAGAAACCCTGGAACTGATGCCATAAGGACCAAGTATGCTTCTTCTTACCAGTGTGAATGACACTGACAGCCCATAAGAGGAGAAAAGGAATAAAAATAAATAAAAGGAATAAGAGTTTATCTGGGTAGGGATAAGTACCAAGCAAAGGGAGAGCTGATTAGCTGTAGGAAAGAGACAGTTTGAGAGTGCAGGACTGGAAAATGCCTCCCAGGTGAAAGTCACTACTACTGTATTTATTTTGCGTACCTGCATGACACCTCATGCAGCAGTGGGTCTTTCTGGGGTGTAGGTATTGTCCCAGTTGACAGTGCATCTGTCTCTTTTCTCTCCTCAAAGGGTTAGAGGGGTCTCCTCCATCCAAAGCTACCCGACGGACTTGCACTCTATATGGCAGTGGAGTAATTTCTACAGATTCCTTTGTCAACACACAGACAAATATTAAAATAACCTGTAAATAGAGAGGGAGGGAGGGAGAGGAGAGAAACAAGGTGAGAAACCATTATATACTCCTGCAGACTGCACCTCTGACTTCAGCACTTAGAATTAAATCATATCATTGAACTCATAGTTCAATTTACTTGGCTAATTCTGGTAATGGGACCCTCCACTGGCAAATATGTGTGCGGGGAGATGATTTACAAAAATAAACCTCAACAAACCAATGCCTGCCATCTGTGATATTAATATACCGTTCAATGGCCTCTACAGAAAACTGGTTGTTTATAAAACAAATATTTTTCATGATGTGCATTTTATACATGGAATGCCTTGAAAATGCTGCAACTTGCATAAAAGTTACACAAGAGCAAAGAAATGTTTTTATTAAGGAAGGAAGTAAAGCTGCCCATGTAGAAACAGTTCCACAGAGAAAAATGCATCCAGTACTTGCAGTTCCACTGAATAAATACACAAGCTGGGAAGTTTGGAATAAGATGGCAAAAGAGGATCTCAATGCCTACTAAGTACGGGAAATCTTCCACAATGCCTCCTGATCAAGCCAGACCTAGAAACATGGGAAAGTTAGGTTTTTGATTTATCCCCATGTCAAATGTACATTCTTCCTCTTAAACTGCAGCTGTCAACAATCAGCCTGTACAGTTCGACACAAAAATGAGCAGTTTCTTCTTTTTTTAAATCTGTTAAGATTTTATTTCTATTTTTCCATTTGAAAGTTGTCATGCCAATCTTAACAGAAATATTAGGATTGGCATGACTGCCACATGACTGTAAGAGAGAGTGACTTTGTACACCCACACACACATGAACCAAGGGTTAAAAGCACAGCTGTACCAATAATGAAGAATGCTGTTCCCTGGACACTGTTTTCAGGACACTATTCCCAGCACTGCAATTGAGAAATACACTGTTTACGTAATGGCCAAAAGGCCTCCACTCTGGTAGGAGGACAGCATCAATGACTCATCAGCAAAAGGTCCTGTACCAGAAGGATGGTAACAAGTTTGCAGTGTATCACAAACACAACCCCTTTCCTTCTTGGCCCAATAGAAAAACAAACCTCAAGCATGCATTTCAAACATTCAGATAAAGAAAAAACACACAACAACAAAAAGGTTAAAAAAAACCAAAAAACCCAACAAAACAAAACCAGGTCCAAACTTGGTCCAAGATTTATGAAACCTGAAGTCAGCAAGTTTCTACAGCAAAGACCCATCCCATACCAACCAGTGATTCCTGAAGAATATGAAAGATTTGTCCAAAAACTACTTTATAGTACCATGAAGAAATCCAGCAGCATGATGAAGACTTGACAACCTACACCCCTTGTCATCCTCTTTGCACACAAGTGATCCTGGCCACACCATCTGGACATGCATGTGTTGGTGCTTCTGAGTATGTTACAGATGTACCAATGAACTCCATGCATCAGGTCATGTGAATGATGAAAATCAACTAATTTTTTTGCAAATGAACACCGCCCTGCCCATATAATCTCACACAAAGTTCTACTGTACTACCTTCCCTCTAATTGTAATGTTTTCCCAGCTTGTTTTTTTTTGGTTTTTTTTTTTTTTTTTTTGAAAGTGTTTTTTTGAAGACACCCAGAAGTACAAGCCCAGCTCCAGAGTTCTTTTTTCTTTTTTTTTTCTCCTTTTTTTTTGCTTTTTCAGCTAAGAGAGCTATAGTAAAAGCAAAGTAAACCAATAAGGGTAAACCACAGCCATGATACCAATTTTGTGGTAGCAAGCTTACCAAAAGATACATAGAATGACAACCCTACACTGTCCTGTTTCTCTTTCAGAATTAAAGCCTTGGGAGAGAAAGGCACATACCTAAAAGCAACTTCAAACCTCAAGAAGGATGGAGTTTGCAACTGTGACAAAACTAAAACATTGTTTTTCAGAGAGATCTGATATATTCAATAGACCAGATGCTAAAAGGGTGAACAGGAAAAAAGAGAACCACATATTTAAATAGATAGCATTTCAGACTTCATTAGTTGACCACAGAATAATTGTAAGCACTCCAACAACTCCTTGGGGGAACTAAAAACTGTTTCAGCAGCTGACATTAAAAGATTTATGGCTTGCAGGAAAATGGATAGAAGATCCTTCACACAGATGGTCTGACACACAGTAACAATAAAAACATTCTGATTCTCTAGCTAGTCATTAATCCCCTGATACGAGAACATAAACAGTCACCCCGTAAGTCACACAAGTCAGCAGCAGAAAGAAGATAAAAGCATCAAAGATTAAGCCAAAAATAGAGAGAAAATTGGTCAGATATACCAATATATATTCAAAGCCAAAAGAAAACAGAAGTGTTTTTAATTTTTCAGATTAAGTGAAAGCATGTCTGTAAGTGTCATCAAAGCAGAATTAGCATGTTATGGAACACAATTTGAGGAACAGAAAGTCACAGGTCAGGAGTGACTCACACCCCAATGACTTGGCCATCCAGCAAAATCATTCACATGATGGAAAAAAAACCAAAACACCACCATCTGAAGCAGCTCCCCAAGCCATTCAGTAATACACTGATTAATACCAATGAACATCTTCATCAAATTCAGGCAACACATGAAATTAGAACAGTCTGTTCCGTTTCAGTTGGAATGTGAACTGCAACAACCATATTACAACATGGACTGCAGAACTGATCAAAATCCTCAGCAAAACCACCCTAAGAGGATATGAAGGTGACCACACGGCGATCACCTGGTAGTGAAAGAGTTGACCCAGTGAAGAGTGAGGAGACCCCACACAATAATGCTTTTTCATCCAGACTATTGCTTGAGGCATAGGGAGTTTAGATCATAAGGGTGATATTGCCCAGGAATTTCTTTGTTGGGGATCCCTTTTTTGAGGCACCTGGCTTAAGCTACCATGTAACACAGTTGATTTGTACCAACAAATCTGTCTGATGGAGATGAGAGCCCGATTTTAAAAAATTCTTTTGCTGTTCCCCTCCTCTGGACACATTCAAGGACCTTCAAATCCCTAAATTGTGAGGCTCTGAACTGCAGCCAGCACTCCGGGTGAGGCCGCACGGGCGCTGAGCACAGGGGATGATCCCCGCTCTGCCCGGCTGTGCTCTGTGTTTGGTGCCCCCAGGACGCGGTTCCTGCCCTCTGGGCTGCCCGGGCACACCCTGCTGACTCTCACTGAGCTGCTGCTGCCCCAGCACCCCCAGGGCCCTCCCTGCAGGGCACTCAGACACTCCTGTCACAGTTTGTACTTGTGCCCAGAAGTAACTCTTTCCCATGTTCAGGATCCAGCATTTAGACTTGCTCAATTTCATTCCAATAATCATTGCTCAATGCTCCAATTTATCTAGAATAAATCCATTGAACAGAACTGGCCCTAGAATTGAGCCCTGAGAAACACTGCTGGTCACCAGCCAGATTCAGCTCCAAGCACTGAAGCCTCAAGTCACTGACAAGAGTGTGCCAAGGCAAAATTTAGAGGTCTTCTGCAAGAGTAATAAGCTGAATATCCATTGTTAGATGTACAGCACACTCCACTTGCCAGGATGAAAAAAAAAAAAACAGTACCCACTAAGCAACTTCACAGTGATAATGTGTATTACTTAAGCCAAGTGGTAACTCAAACCACAAGTGATGCACACCACTGATTCATACCTACTCAGTCATTTCAGGGACTACCCAGGGAAAACAGAGTCAGCAGAAACTCTGGGGTTTACTTCTGAAACTGACACAGGAATAACCAAAATATGGCAGAACACTGCTTCCTTGAAACGTTCCACCCCTCTGGGTCACAGGTGTGTTCCCTGCACATTCTCCTCTCACATAAGGCAACCCTAGCTCCTTCCCGTGCCTCACGCCAGCACTTACTGCCCAGCACATCACCTACAACGAAAAAAGGCACAGCACAAGCCCAAAGCTCTTCTATGCAATGTTTTGACAGCTGAGACAGGAGTTAGGAGCCTTTCCACAATTTTCACACTCAAATATTCTTGAATTACTGCCACCACTACCATTTACACCCTTGTTCCTGCTTTTGCCTCACCAGGACATGCACAGAGAACTGCAAGTGAGGTGATATCCCACCAGAGTAAGGTAAATGAAGAAAGGAAGGGCAAAGATGAAAGGAGCAGAGCAAGATGCCAGAAAGACAGATGAGAGGGTAGAAATAAGGGACATTTGAGAGCAGTGCTCTCAGGACAAGGGCACATAAAGCTCAGTACCTGAAACAGAGGGACTGCATAGGGAGTGCAGCATGTCAGGGCTGCCCCATATTATCACCTCAGGAGGCTGGGAAATACCAAATTACTCAGCATGAATGCAGGTCATTTTGCTATCTTTAATACTTTGCTTCAATATTTCTTGAGAAATCAGTACATCATACTAGTAGTTATAACTATCTGTATTGTGTTGTAAATAATTATGAATTAAGTCTTTTAGTCTCAACATCATCAATGAAATCAATATTTTATTCATATAAATATATTTAATCATCCTTAATCCTCATGGACCAAGTTGCACAAAGATTCCATTGTAATAACTTAATCAACCACTTCTCTCAAAAAAGGCTGCCATTTTGCAAATTCCATTTTTAAACTAATTAACTATCAACTATCTGCAAATAAGAGGCATTATGAGTCATTAGAGTGTCTCAAAATATTTCGCAACATCAAGTTACCTTGGTTTAAGAATCCAGCATGACACACGCCTCATGCACAAGTATTCTACACATAAATCATCTGTCAGCCTTTTTAATGAATCATAAAAAATTAGTCAGCTTGGAGGCTTGGGCAAAAATCAGCATCTTGCTCAGACTAATGAGCCACCAACGAAAGCAGAGTACAGGATTTACTCTGATGTTCCTTGTCTGGTTCAGCCATTTCCAAAAGCTCTTTGAGGTTCACATTTGTTTTAGTTTGCTACACAAAGATGAAAGGGAAACCAGAACTTCTGCTTTAAACATTGAGAAATGTGCATTAAAGCAACATTTACAGGAAGTTTTTGTCATTGCTCACTAAAATCTGGAAAGGACAAAAGAAGGCTACAAGAACTACTATGATAAATCATCCTTATTTTATGAAGATCTGATGAAAGAACGCTGTATTTCAGGCCTTGTCTTAATTCAGGAGACTGATAATAGCTTTGATACAATGAAGAAAGGCCTTAGAAATCTTAACTTAAAAACTGAAAAAAACCTGTGATTATCTATAAAGATTGTGGACTTCACATCATAAAATATCATAAAGTATATAAAGTTAGAAGGCTTTATTTCATATCAGTAAAGATTAAGAAAATAATGGAGAAGTCAGTAGGTGATAACAACCATAAGAAAAATTTTTTGGAAGCTTTCCCTCCGAGGACACTGTGGTGGACACTGTGTCAGAGTGCCATGTTACTGACCCTCGACACCCCAGCACTTTGGCTGCCTGTGTTCAGCAGGCAGCCAAAGTTCCACTGTGCTGTGCACAGCCTCACATCAGAGCGCTGATGGAGCAGCAGCCATGGGAAGGCTCAGGGGGATCCTTACTTTTCCATCCTGAAATGATTTTCAGCTGGGCATGAGCCCTCGGCCCTGCCCACGCTGCGCCATGGACCTGCTTATGCCCCTTGTCAGTGACTCACTAGGAGAATTTTTAAGTCAGGTGATTGTCAAATGCCAAAGCCTACTCATTGGAACAGATATATTCCTGTTTGGTTTAATAGGAAAATGTAGTGACACTGCTTTGAGATGTGCTTAACACAAGGATATGTGTTAGCAAAGGAAGCACTCAGCTATCCAGGGATTACAGAAGAGAACACGAGGCATCTGCTCAAAGCCTCCTTGTGATGACTAAAGAAAATGGGCAAGAAAGAGCAAAATGACAACACTGGGTTTACCACAAATAATACTGCTAATGCAGAAAATTGATTACTTAATGAAAAGGGAAAGGCATCCAGAATGACAGTACTGGTTCCTTGTGAGAACAAAAATTGCCACGTTAAGTGTACTTAGCACAGACCCTAATATAAACATTTCATTTGGCTAGAAGTAGTTAGTCCTAAAAACAGAAATTAAAATTAGATTAATAAGCAGTAAAAGTTCAATTAATCTTATTGGAGAAAACAATCAGAAATGCAATCAAATGCTATGAATTATTAGGAAAGGACTTGAGAGCAAAACCAAGTGTTGTTATGACCATATATAAAGGATTGAATCTTGACTGTAGTTCTGGTCCCCAATCTTAAGAATGTAAATTAACCCAAATATAAAACAAAGAAAAGTAAAAAGGACCATCATTGGTACAGAATGCCACAGAATGATAAAAATACACCAGTCTATAAAAGAGGAACCTGAGCCAAGGATACTGTAGCAGCTCAAGGCCATGAATGCCAAAGAGAAGATGAAGTGGGATGAGTGTTCTCTGTCTCCTCCAATACAAGAACTAAGAGGCATCACATAAGACAAGCAGCAGAGAGGTGCAAAACAAACACAGGGAGGTACTTTTACAGCCAACATGTAGCTGAGGTGTGGGACTCCATGAGAGAGTGCTGGCTCTGCCAGAAACCTGTCCTCGCTCCAAAACTGATCACCACACCCATAGGAGAAGATAAAAAAAAAGCCAGTCAGGGATGCAAAATATGACTACGCCATTTCAACTTGGAAATTCCTATGGTCCCAGCCCAATTGAAGCCAGGAAAGTATTCTTATTTTTCATTGCTGTACACTTGCCCTGCTGCAAAACCCTTGGCAGACACCTGTGACTGGTCACTACTGGAAACAGGCTGGTGGCCCAACAGCTCTTTTTCACAATGCACTTGGTGGCCTGGTTTCCAATTTTTATATAAGGTAGCTTCTAACTTCAAAATGGCAGTTTCTCCCTTTACTTTGAAAAGAAATCAATGCCAGGAGTACCCTTATGGCTATTTACTTTTTTCTTCATAAAACAGAATTTTCTTTAATAAATGAAACGTCCATTATATATACTATTTTTTTTTCTTTTAATGAGACAGAAAACACCCTGGCCTCAGTGAAGATGGATGCCATTTTGTCCACTGCAAAAGTTAGGAGTGCATGGGGAAAACACAGAGCACCTGAAAATTAGTTTAAGGACAGGCAGAAAGAGTGAATGCATGGAAACAGGCTACAGGAAATTTTGAAGAATCACAGGAAATATACAAGATTCAGAAGAGCAGAAGGGAGCCATCAGGGGGCCAAGAAAGCCTATGAGGGTGATATGCAATTTAAATGACAGATGGATGGGCATGCAACAGAGTGAGAGTGAGACTTGTAACTCTGGGGGGAAAAAAAAGAAGAATATGATTTAATTGAAAAGATATATGTTATCTGTAGGGAGTACAATGCTATTGACAACTTGAAATTGCATGCAAATAGGAAGGGGAAAACATCTTCAAAAAGAAATACCACTGAAGGACACTTCCTTGAGTATCTTATTCAACTGAAGATAATATAATGAATTTGGAGAATCCAATAGGTTTTTCATTTTTTGCCAACTGAATGAATAATATCACATATGGTACCTGATTTATACCAAAATGTGCGCACCTCTATTCTTAAGCCAGAAATACACTTTTCAGGTTTGCTACCTGCTTTGAAATCTGTCCATAAATCAACAGTTTATGTGTCCTACTTAGGTCCCAATATGCTAAGTGATCCACAGCTAGAGTCAAGGTATTCCTTCTCTTCAGTTTTAGTTGTGTTGTCCTGCAACTACTAGCTTTAAGTCTACTACTGGGTTTACAAACCTTGCAAGTAGTAAAACAAAAATACCCTTCTGGAAAGTAACTTTGCAGAAGTCTACTACTGGGTTTACAAACCTTGCAAGTAGTAAAAAAACCCCCAAGACCAAATCCAAACCCTTCTGGAAGGTAAGTTTGCACACACTGCAACTTTCTGACCACAAATTAACAACTAACCCAACATTACATATCCAGTGCAGGCAAGTGCAAGTGTGCTTTAGTGGATGCTCAGGCATTTAAGGATAGACAGTTTGACCTCATAACCTCTACAGTAGAATTTACAGTCATGTTGTGATACTGACAGACACCACTCCACTGTCCCAGCTTCAGCACACATCTGCTGACACTCGATAGCCATTCACGTCTGGAATCAGGTTATTCATAAAACTCTCCGATATCTTTTACAACATTTTCTCCTGCGAAATCACAACGGGCAGCTTAAAAGTCTCACCCTACGAAACCCGGGAAGAATAAAGAAGATCTACCGGCAGAGCTGAACTTACTTTTATACAAATCCCGTGGTTTGGGGCGTAGCTAAAACCCTCTAATCTTTGCTCGAGCGCCCGCAGAGTGGCATTTGTGTGCGCCCGGCTGCGCAGCAAAACGGGGGCGGCTCATCCCCGCTCCCCGTGAGCGGCGGAGGGAGCGGAGCGGCTCCGATCCCGCCCGGGCGGCTCGGTGCCCGGCGTTAACGGCCGCGCCGCGGGCTTCAGGGAATCCACCGCCGTTCCTGTAAGCCCAGACGCCTTCTCCCTGAGTCAGGGATAAATCCCGGGAACGGCGCCAGAGAACTCGGTGCCCAGCGGAGGGCGGGGAGCGGAGGGAGGGAGGCGGCGAGCACGGCGGTGCCGCTGCCCCGCGGGCACCCGGCGGATGGCGCGGCTCGGCCGCCCGACCCGCTACCGCCGCTCCTGCCGCTCCGGCGCCGGCACCAGCCTCCCCTGCGACGACGACCGCCCGCCTCGCCCTCCCGCAGACTCCCCGAGCCCCGTCCCCCCGCTGCCCTCCCCGGCATGGGGCTGCCGAGAGGGGAGCCCCAGCGCCCCGGAGAGGGCGAGCAGAAAGCGGGCTGTGCGCAGAGCGGCAGCGATGGGGAGCCCGACGGCGGCCAGGAGGGCCGAAGAGAGCCCGGGCCCGAAATCTCGACGGCGGACACCGCTCTGCGGACCCGCAGCGGGCTGCGGATCCGCCGGAGCGGAGCTGTCGCCGGGCGAGGCGAGCACGGCCCCGCTCCGCCGGGAGCGGCCAAGTCCCCGCCGTGACTTACCGTCCCCAGCGATGTGCGGGGCAGCGCCGGGCCGCGCATGGCTCCGCGGGCCGCTACATCCCCGCGGCAGGGTCCCCTACGTCCAGAGGAAGCCGCCCCAGCCCTACCCAGCGCCGGCCGGAGCAGCGCGGAGAATGACTACCCCGTCTCCAACTTCCTGGCAGCGGCAGCAGGAAAGAGAGCGGCGAGCGGGAGGCGGCCCGGAGCAGCGCCGAGCCCCGCCCGCCCACCGCCGGGCGAGGACCGGCGTCGGCGGTACTCCTTAAAAACCCAGATGGACAAGCTGAAGAAAAGCAACTTTGGATGGTGCACCGAGTGGCTAAAGCTGCTAGAAAACACACGGGAAAGGAGACAGAGGAGGTCCGCTGCAATCTTAAAAGTTCTTGACGCAGGAGAGTTTCATTCTTCAGCTGTACTTTCCGCGTGAAAATTAACCATGTACTTGTAAGAAAAAGACGTTTTGCATCTTAACTTAATTTTAAAGAAAGGCACTTTGCAGCCACGATCAGCTCTGTATGACCATCCTGTAGTTTTTAATTTAAAACACACGTTTTCTTGCATGCTCCGATGAACCAGCTGTACAGATAGTGCAAATATAAGCAAAACCAACATGACATTCTGTGTAAGCCCTGCTTCATTTAATATATCCTCTTAGCATGTTTGAAAAACAAAAATACAGCTAGGAATCAGTGGCTAAATGATAAAGAACTCCCCTTCATTTGTTGCCCATTAAGACTTCCTCTTGCTTTCTGGAATGTCTTTGTACCCCTGTAAAAGACACTAGATCAAGCTACTAAGCATTGTTTTGGAAGAATTTGCCCATTTCAGTACAAAATGGGTACAATTCACTCCATGGACTGCCTGAATTACTGCGGATAAATCCAAACACCTCCACAGACCGATCCTACAATGGAGTTGCTTATCTGCTGTGTGGAAGCCAACAACGGCACGTGCACAGGAGAAAACAAGGAGGGCACTTTTCCACACTGTGGCTTGGAACAGCTCTGACTTCCCAGCTGCAAGTCTCAGGAGAGAAGGAAATAGCAGAATAACCTGTTACCAGATTGCAGCCATCTCCAGGGACAGAGGTGGAAAAGATTTTTTCCCGTTCTTTTCCTAGCCTCGAATGAGGACAATACAAAATTAGCCCCTAAAGGGAAAATTCTGGCATGCATTCTGTGAAGGAGGAAATAATGTTTTTATGGGCTGTTTCACGTTTAGCACTTGGCATGTGAGTGGATGAGGCCCATCCTTCAATCTTCCTGGAGCTTCAGCCTTCAAAAAATAAAAAAGGCAAAAAACCAGCCCCACTTCTCTAGTACTACATAAATGTCAGAAAAATCCCTGTGAACCTTCACATTTGACTCCTCCCAAGTTTGGGGAGGGACATCTCACAGCTCACTGCACGTTTGACATTTACACCAATGTCAAACGCGTCACTGCACATCCACTTCCCAGCTTTCACCAGAACTCCAGGTCAGGCCTCCGTCCATCCCTGCCACTCCCTGCAGCCTGCCAGGTCTCCAGCCCTTCCTGAGGTCCTGTGGCTACTTGGCTCGGAGGGACTGAGCCCACCCTCCTGTCACACAACCCGTGTCTGACAGCCCAAGCGCTTTACTCCCAGCCTGCAGAGCTGTACTGGGTTTGCACAACCAGGTTTTGGTAGCATGGGGATGACAGCGGTGACTTTTGTGAGAAGCTGCCAGAAACTTCTCCTGTGTCTGGCAGAGCCACTGCCAGCTGGCTCCGAGATGGACAGACTGCTGGTCAAGGCCGAGCCTGTGAGAAATGGTGGCAATGCCTCTGAGATAACCTATTTACGAAGGAAGGAAAAGTTATTGCGCAGATGTAATTGCGGCCAGAGTAGAGCAGAGTGAGAACATGTGAGAGGAACAACTTCACAGACTCCAAAGTCAGTGGAGATGGAAGGGGGAAGGTGCTCCAGGCACCAGAGCTGAGATTCCCCTGCAGTCACGGTGAAGACCATGGTGAAGCAGCCCATGGCGGTCCATGGGGATGCAGAGATCCTCTTGTAACCCATGCAGGAGCCCCATGCTGGAACAGGTGGATGCCTGTAAGAAGGCTTTGACTCCGTGGGAAGCCTGAGCTGTCCTCTGCCAGGACCTGCAGACCCCTGGAAAGAGGAGCCCGCTGGAGCAGGTTCCCTGGTAGGACTTGTGATCCTGTGGGGGGCTCACGCTGGAGCAGGCTGCTCCTGAAGGAGTGCACCCCGTGGAAGAGTGGGTCACGTCGGAGCGGCTCTGTTGCCCGTGGTAAAGGTGCACATTGGCCAAGTCCGGGGGAGGGACCTGCTGGAGGAGCGGGGAAGGAGCCGTGTGTCTCCCTGGGAAGCGGCAGAAACAACTCGTGACCGTCATCTCCATTCGCTCTCTCCCTGCGCCGCTGCGGGCCGGGAGGGGCGGAATGGGAAAGGTGGTTTTAAGATTTATTTTACTTCTCATTATCCTGCTCTGATTTTGTTCGTAGTAAATTCAGTTGTTATCCCCAAGTTAAGCCTGCTTTCCCGGCGACGGCAATCGATCTGTGACCTCCCCCGGTCCCTGTCTCAACCCCTGAACCTTTGGTTTTATTCTCTCTCCCCTGCCCCTTGCGGAAGGGAGCGATGGAGCGGGCCCGGCACGGCCCAGGCCCATCCCACACACTCCCGCTCCCGATCCTCGCATCCCGCGCGGAAGGGGCGGGAACAGCCGGGGAGCAGCGGGGGCGGCGATTGGACGGAGGGCGGGAAGGGGGCGGAGCCTGGCGCGCTCGCGCGGCTCTCCCGGCGGCTCCCGCGCGCTTCCCGCCGCCGCGTCGCCACGGCAACGGCGCGGCCCGCGCGGGCTGTCATGGCGGCGCCCGGCGCGGCGGTGAGTGAGGGCCCCGGGCGGCTCCGCGCCCTCCCCGCCGCCCGGCGCTGAGAGCCCGCTTCCCTCCTTTCCCCCCGCAGGAGCAGCGCTGGCTACAGGCGGCTCGGGACTTCTTTCACCGGGCGCTCCCGGGGCCGGACGGGCAGGAGCCAGCCGCGCTGGAGGCGGTGCTGCGGTGCCTGCGGAGCGCGGGCGGCGGGACTGTCGGGCGGGGTAACCGCGCGCGTTCCCGGGGCCTCGGCGCGCCCCCGCCGCCCTTGCGGCGTGACTGAGCGCCGTGAGCCGCGGGGACGGCGTGCGAGCACAGCGGCGTCTCGCCTTTGGCGGCGGCTGCCCGGCTGCATCCTGCGCGCCCGCGCGGGAGGACGCTCCCGGTCTCCGAAGCGGCTGGCCGGCTCAGCTCAGCGTTCGAGTGTGCGCCCTTAAAAAAGGGGGAATCTAGGATAACATGGTCCACATTTTAGTTGGTAAAAGGCTTTTGGGTGCTTGCCATCATGAAAGACGTGCAGCTCGTTGAGAGATATCCCTATTGGAATGTTTGGCTTGTCTGGGTCTGTTTCTTGCTCCAGCTTGCGGGATAATTAAAATCTCTGGCACAACCAGTTTCGGGAGAAAATGTCAGCTGGAATTGATTAGGGATTTGTGACCTTTAACAATAGTTAATAAATGTAGGTGGTTGATCTTTCACACCAGCTAAACTTATCTAATTTAAGCCATTTTTTTTCCTGTGTGTTATGACATTTAAACCAGACTTTGGTTCATATTCAGGAGAATCTATAAAGAAGAGTTGAAGGTACTTGGTATTTATCACTTGTGAGGCCAGTGGTCTGTTTGTGTGCAGTGTGCTACATCCACAGCTAACCACCAAGCTCTAGAGCACGAGGAGAGAGTCTCTTTGCTGCTGTGTGTGATAACCATGAGCCAGTGTCCTGCTGTAGTTCAGGTTTCTCCCAAAAATCACTCAACACATTTGATAAAAACATGAGCAGCACTGTGCTTTTGTGGATCATAGGTACCAGTATGATTCCTGGTGGTGCTCTGTCTCTGAAGATGGAGCAGTTTCAGCTAATGGAATTTTCAACTAATCCCCTGTTCATTTTCCTGCAAATGCACAGCATTACACCTGTGTAAATTTATGTCTTCTGATTAATTTTTCTATATCTAATTACTGTTTATTGCTGATTCAGACCCATCACACATCTGGACTAGTTTCTTGCTTTGAACTTTTGATCCCTGACTAATCAAGTGACACTCTTCAAATTCACACCCTTTGAATTTGTTTATGTCCTGCTACTGAGCAAGTGGGTATTGTGAATAGAGCTCCGGTTTCACAACCTAAAATTGTCAGTGAAGCTCACTGGAAACCAGTACCAAAATCACAGGCTGGAGAACAGTTTGTATTGGCTCTTTCAGTGTTGATATTAGGGTACTTTGCAAACTGAGTTCTTCATACATCCTGCTATATTCTTGCTTTTTACTTTCTTTTTTTTCCAGTTTCATCTCCATCTCTGACCTGCAGCATCAGCAGCACATACCATGCTGCAGCCACCTGAGCTGGAGCACTAAGGAATTTAAGGAATGGTCTCATCAAGGACAAGGTGCCTTACCCATGCAGCGCACTTTGCCAAGGACTTACCTGATCCTGGTTGGCTATTTAGCAGATGGAAGGCAAGAAAACAAAGAAAAGCTGGTAGATGGTTGCCTATACGTGAAGGACAATACTGGGATAATTCCATGTGAGGTATGTCCTTGGTCTGAGGGGTTCTGTGTTTATTCCCATTTCTGGGGTAGTGTCACAAACCATCAGGGGCTTCAGGTGTTCTGCCAGAGTCTAGTGAAGGAAGTAACACGTCTCTGTAACAGGCAGGAAAACAGCAAGCTCACATCCTGGGCAGAGGATAGAGCATGTGAAATGTGCCTTTGCTAGGAGAGGAAATGCTGAATGTACTGGCATGGAAAAAAGAGACAGGCAGTACAGTTCTGTTCTGTTCACCACAGTACCAGGTGGACTGGGAGACCATTGCTGAATTCCAGCTAGCGGAGCAGAAATAACTTTCTGGAGAGTTGTACTAGGTGTTCAGTGATGCATATGCAGGCATACTTTCAGGAAACAATAGCTTGCATGACAGTTGGCTTAAAAGCCTCCTGAAGGTAATTGCAAGTGGAGTCAAGATAACAACCCCTAGAGTGGTGGTGATAGAGCACTGAAGTTGTGCTTTCCAATGAGACAAAGTCTAGGAAAAAGTTGTATTGGTAAGAACTTCTAACTGAAAACACAGGGGCAAAAGAAAGCCGGCAAGAATTTTAGTAGTCTGAAAATAACTAAGCCTTGCAGTGAATTAATTATCACCTTTCTGTGAGGTTGTGACTATAAACAGGAAGTGCTAGCTGTAGAGTTCAGCAAGTCTGTTCCAGATTTGCATCTGGAAGGACAGAAGTTCTCTGTGCAAGGTAAGAGAGTGGGCAGAAAACACTGCTCCCATTTAGTGATGAAGCCTGGCAGTAGGAGAAGAGTTTGTGATGCACATGCAAGGGTGTACTGGTAATGAACACTGTAAGTAGTGCTGAGAAAACAAACTGAAACTCATCTCAGGCTTCAATCTCATTATCTTTTGGTTTAGCTCTTGCACTTTGAACTGGACTGGCTGGAGTCTCTGTTTGTCTTCCCAAGCTGGTCGTATATACCACAAAGAGACCGGAGTTCAGCAGGATACTTGGAAATCCTGGTGGATCCAGTGCCAGTAAATGCCCCCAAGGAAGTACTTCACAGCATTCCAGTCACCTCCCCAGTGTCAGCTGAGCCACTGCTTACTTCCAGGTAAACACCCGTGGTGCCCAGCTCCTCAGAGCACTGTTGCTCTGGCTTGGCAGGTAACACGAGGAGCCCTTGGCTTAGAAAGAGGCAAATTCTATTTCTACCACAGGCGGAAACGTAGCAGTGAGTGGTGGAAGTAAAAGTTATACAACAAAGCCACTTTTTTTTAATCATCTGTTTCCCAGGAGTTTATTGGAATTTTTTCTTCTGTAATTTGAAAAAAAATAAGATCAATTTAATGTATTTCTAGATGTAATTTCAAATTATAGAAAGACTGTTAGAACAGTGTTGATTCAACTGCCTTTGAGGCTAAATTCACTCTTTAGATTAGCACAATTTTTTTTTGATCCTCCAGTGAACCAAAAGTATACTTGAAAATAATCCTGTATTTTATTATGATGTTAATATGTTCCACTGGTCAAATTCTTATCAGATTACTGAGATAAAAGTGCCAGTGAAATGTCAACTGGTAGAAGTAACTGTGCTTTAGTTTACAGTATGTGAAAATGAGCCAATGGAATTGCAAATCTTAATAAGGTGATAATTTCAAGTCGTGCTAGATCATGTTTTATCTTGAGTAGAGAATTTCTGGTGTAATTTAATTACAATAAAATGTCACTAATCGTGCTTCTATCATTTCTTTTTAGTTATCTTTTGTTTTTATTGGGTTTATATGCTTCTAAGAAAGTAATTCTGAGCTTAAGTGTTTGATTTAGCTCAAGGGATCTTTCTAAACAAGAAGACTATTTCCATATTTCAGGGTATGTTCTCAGACTTTTAACATAAAACTCCTTTGTTATTGACTGATATCTGACCAATTTTCCATGTTACAACTAAAATGTTACAGTAAGGTGCTGGTATTGCTGTGTGTCTACTGCTGATTGGGGTTTTTTTAAAGTCATAAAGTTAGATAATTGTTTAGATGTTTTGGAATGAAGAATAGTTTTTTTCAGAGTAAGTGGGATGGTTACATTCAGGTCCAGTAGGAGCTGAAATGAAAATTTCAAACATAAATTTTTTTAAATTACTTTTTTTTTAATCTTTTGAAACATAGGTTTGAAACAGCAAACAGAATTGATTAAAGAAATATCATCTCTCTTGCCTCTCATCTGCTTTCAGTTTTGCTGCTCTTTCACTCTGTGTCAGGTTTGTTAGAAAGACTCCATTGTTGCTTTCAGGCCTCTTGTTCGTAGGCTTACAGCTTCCACAGTGTCATGTTCCATGGACATACAAATCCCAGTTCTGTTTACTGCAGAAGAATTGCTTGTGACTTTTTTCTTCTCCTTTAAACCAACAATTAGTTTCTTGTTCGTGGTAAAGCCTTTTATAACCTGGCTGTTGTCATGGAGTGTGTGGATTTGTTATTCTGTTCTTTCTGTCTTCAAATACTAAAATGTCAAAAGGATTTAGTATAGAAAACTTAAAGTACAATTTTGTAGCTAAATATTGTTTTGAAAACCTCTCTGAGAGATTGACCATGTTGCTTCGTTGGATCCGTTATTCCCAGAAAGTATATGCTGCATATTTGTTTATTTTGCTTTTGGGATATTTTTGAGCTTTCTTTCATCTCTGATTTCAGTTGCCTCTTCAATTGTCCTCTAGGATTCCATGTAAGAAAAGATCAAAGCTTACTGTAGCAGGGGAATTGACCAGACTCGGGCCTCTCCTTTGTGTTCACCGAAAGACATTCTTCTTTCTGTTTCTGAAGTGCTTTGCATCTGCTGTTTGTGTCCCTGTGCTGGTGCAAGTAAGTCCTTGGAATTTTACTCACAAATTCAGTCTGGATCTGTGTATGTGCTAGCTGCTTAATTCTTTGTAGCTTGCCATTGATTTCCCAGTTTGATTTATTCTTCCTTTTACTAGTGATATATTTTTAATTGCACCCAGTGTACAATAGTCTTGGTGTGCAAGAAGTCTAGTTCTGTGCCCTGCAGAAATACAATCCTTCTCCCTCATGCAGTTGCAGTGTCCCTGAATGTCTTGCAGATACAGTCCTTTTGCTAAGAGTGTGAGGCAATCCTCTAGGTGGATAAGGGTTTTTTGGGTAGGATTATTTAGGTCAGGAAGAATTTTTTTCACTGGAGTTGATGCTGATGTTGCTTTTTGTTTCTCTGCTTTAGAAACCCAGCCAGCTGCTGTGGCATCGTGTCTTCCAGCTGGGTCACAGCTACACAATCACAGGCCTGAGTATGTCCAGCCTGAAGAAATCTGGACAAACTATGTTTGTCACCAGTGTTTCTTCCTGCCTTCTGCCCTACTGTGCAGAGCAGGTGAGGGAGCAGCCACTGAACAGTGCTTCACAAGGAGAATCCACTCAGTCTTCTTCCCTGGAGACTCCTGAGCAGCTCAGTTGCTCCTTGCAGCTGGGGGCTGAAGAGGAGAGACCAAGACCAACCAAAGAGTCCAAGATCATCTCCTATGTGGTAAGGATTCACAGGCTTAGCCTTCACCCACTCATGCACTGGGGTTACAGCTCCTGGCCTGCAAGGACCATTATTTTCATCATGAGTTTATTTTCTTACTGCTCAGGCCTGTGAGTCTCTTATATTTTGTGACTCTATACAGTCCTCTTACCTTCTGTTTGCTTTCTGTTTAGGGATTTGTCACCAAAGTACTCAATGTCCAAGCTGGTCTCTTTTTACTGGATAACCAAGTCTGCTTGTGCCTTGCTTACCAGCCACTGCTGAACTCTGCACGGGGCCTCCGACCGGGAGCCTGTGTGGAGGTAAGTTGAGATTTGCAGGGTCACGAAGTATTCAGTGGAAAAGACTTAGGCCCTGGGAATGGCTTTTGAGTGTGTGGGTCAACAGAAGGCTGCAGGAACATGGGAATTATTTCAGCAAGTATCTGGAACAAAACTGGAGATTTTACTGCCTGGACTGAGTGATGAGAGGTGATATAATTATTATCTGATTCCTCCCTAAACTGTGCTCGGTGCCTCAGGCCTGATTATAGACAATCCAGCAGAGTGAGAAAGAATTTAAGGTGGGGTTTCAGTTTGGGGGCGTGGTGGCAGACTGGCTGTCTCTTCTCTTACACTCTGTGCCTCTGTATCCCAGCTCATCGACGTCCACCTCCTGCAGAAGCCTCTGGTATCCTTCCCTTTCACTGTACTTGGTGCTTGCCTGAACAGCATGGTTGTGCTGAAGAGCTTCTCAAGGCTCAGCACCCCCTACCAGCCACTGGCCTCTTCAGGAAATCTCTGCCTACAGCTACTCTTCCGCTTCAATCTGGGAATGCCGCTGTACCTCTGGCTGGTGAGCCTCCTGGAGACGTTTGAGGAGAGGTGAGGACAATTCTTCTGAAGTCAGGCTATGCCTGAATGTGCCTTGTAGGTTACCTGGGTGTCTTCTAGACCAAAGGATCACAAAATGACTGTGCTTGGATACTACAAGCAGCAATTGCTTCTGGTTTTTTGGCCTAAGTAAGCCATTTATCCAGACTTCACATCATGTCCACTTGCTTCTTACCTTGCAGTTGCTTCTGTGAGAAAAGCCGATGCATTTTTCAAGTGCAGGTGAGGTAAAGGTCTTGGGAAGCTGCAGTGCTTCTGAGCATTTTATTCACATAATCCTGCCTGGAATGCTTTGTCTTGAAATACAGAAGCACCATAGGGGTGTCTGCTTGCCAGTGTGGTTTGTTTGGCAGATCAAGGTGGGCACTGAGGCTAAAGCTGGAAACTGGTGCTACAGCTAGATCATAACTGATATAAAGGCTCTTGTGTCCTGACTGTGCACAGAAGCAGCAGCAGCTGCTCAGCATATCACTTTGAGATATTCTGAGTGTTTCCAGGAGTGTGATAATTTGTTTTAGAGTCTCTGTCTTGGCAGATTTTCCCACCCATGCTTACCTCCCAAGTCTTCCAGATGGCTTCCTGCTCTTCCTGACGCTGCACTCTTTTTGTAGGACAGCTGTGGGCCAGTTTCTGGGTTTATTTCTGGCTTCTGTTAGTGAAAATATTTTGCTTGTTCTGAAGCAGTTATGGTTGATATCACTGTGACTGCTGCCTTGGTCAAGTTTATACATTTTACTCTCAGTCAAGTAGCAGTTTATAGAATGCTCAGTGTTCCTGTGTTTTACTGGCACTGTGGAATTTTGACATGCTACCAATAAAACAGCTTCAGTTTTGCCTTGGGAATTATGCTAGCTATAAATTTCAGGTTTTATTATCTTTTCCACTTTCTTTAAATGTGATTGCTCAGTCCTGGAACTGCTTAAAAATTGTTCCAGTGAGTGCTATTTCTTTTAATTTGAGTTCACTTTCTGTCATATTTTGGCTGGCAGTGTGATCACTTCCAAAAGTGAGCTAAATTTATTAAATTAGCTCTACAGAAATATTGGGATAAGAATAGTCTGTGGTTGTTTCTGACTTGTGTTTTTTGCATTCTGTGAAAGAAAGCCAAGTGTACCTAACATGAGTAATCATATCGTGCCCAGCCAAAAGGCATGGAGATCCATTTGTGTGGCTTAGAGGGAGATTATCTTCATGTCATTTGTCTCTCTGGCCATTTGAGTTTTGAGATTTTTACCAGTCTTTCCTTTCTGTGGATTTTCCTGTTCCTTGTCTGCCCAACATAATTTGCATTGGCCTTAAATGCTCTATTCTTTAATAATTTCATGGTTTTTGTGATCTCTTTAGTTCTTATCCTATACAGCATATTCACTCAAAAAAAGCAGAAGGAGTCCCTGACTTAGATCTCACTAAAGACTCACTAGAATGAGCAAGACTCACTAAAATGTAAGATCTCCTTCTGCTTTTAATAGTCATAACTTTTTTTTAGGTTTTCCTGTTTCTTTGGGCGCCGTCAATTGCTTAGCTCTGTGCACCAAAACCCTGGAGCTGCTGAGAAGTTCCTTGTCCCCCTTCTACAAGCTATGGTGCCAGACAGAGAAGCAAGAGATATTTATAATGAAATTCTATCAGAAATACACCAGTGTCCCCTGCAGAAAGTGAGTAAATGTTCTTTGAGCTGTTTCCTGTTTGTCTGATGGGAAGAAACTCAGCTGATTAGTTCTTTCTCTCTTTTGTTCACAGTATTTGACTCTGAGCCCTCCATGCCAAGCCCCATCTCTGTCTGCAGTTTGCCGTGTGGCAGAACAGAAGAGCTGGGAAGGCTTCAGTCCATCACAGTTGCTTTCCCCCTTGGAGGCACAGCATATGGGCACCCAGGAGCTGAATCGCAGACTGGCCTGGTCCTACTGCACACTCTCAGCAGAAAGTTTCCAGCCCCAACTGGTATGTGCCTCGTTCTCTTCCCTGTCTGTGCCTTGAGAGCTCCTGCTTCTCACCGTGCCTTCCAGCACCCTGTCCAGTGCATGCTTCTTCCTCCTGTTAGGGAACAGCTGCTTTTCTCACTGTGGCACTTTGAAAACAGACTGAATTTGAGCTGCTGCTGCACACACTTTGATTTATGGCTTTCAAAGACAGGAATTGTTTGATGCTCTTTGCAGCTTTCTTTCTGTTGTAGATACTCCAGGGTGTGCTGAGGGTCTCCTCCAGGAGCAGTTCCCTCCAGCTGCAGGACAAGAGCAGCGCACTTCGCTGTGTGATCTCCCGCAAGGATGGTAGCCCCTTTGCCCAGACTGCTCTCATAGGTATGTCCCACTAAACTGTATTTGAGTGCTGAGCTTTTGCTCTTCTGCCTTCCAGCTCCAAAACAAGGAAGAAGAGACATTGTGTGGAGATGCTGAACTGTCACTGCCTGACCTCGTGACTTTAAAATGAGGATATTGACCTTACTGGTTTTATGTTCTCTTTTTATTTAGCTCAGCTCTTTTCTCTGATGTGTTTGCAGGATCACTCTTGCAGGTGGAAAACTACCAGCTTGTAGTGGAGAGATTCCTTAAGACTGATTTTCCCTCCTGGGAACACCTGGAAAATCCGGAGCATGTGAGAGAGAAAAAAACTAGGTGAGTCCCTTTATTCAGTGTGCAGGTAAAATCATCACTTTCCCGTTCCATTAGTATTTTGGACTATGGTAAGCCTTCTTACCAACATAGCATTTCAGTGCCAAAGCACCTGTTCTTTGCTATTTGCATAAAATGAGCTCTTTCTCAGCAACAAAGCCACCATCTCCCTTTTGTTCATAGTACTTGCAGCCTAGGAGCAAGTGAAGCTCCACTTCACTCTTTCCCACTGCTTCTGCTGAGTACCTGTGGGGCACTCACCAGATGTGTTTTTCCCAGATAAGTGTTTGTTTAGGACAGTCGTATGTCAGGGATAGGGAGTTTCACTGCTACTGTTTGTCATTTCAGTGTCTATGTGCAGTTCTACTTGGAGGATGTTCAGGTTCTCCATGCTGCTGAAGGACAAATCCAGAAAGGCCTTAGGAGCGGAAACAGCTCTTCTTTGAGGAATAAGAAAGATGGCAGCACAACATCTGAGCTGGAAACCCCAGAGGCAAAAATGCTGAAATTGGAGGATTCCAAGGCAGATACTGGCAGAGACGAGAACTGTCAGGGGGGCCAGAGCAGCCCCAGAACAACGGGCTGTGTATCTCACCTGTTCTTGGTTACCCAGAAAGAGGGTCTCATGTCACGCAATTACCAGCTGCCCGCAGAAGGAGATAAAGAAAAAAACGAGCTGCAGTGCAGTTTCCAAGCCACAGTGCTGTGGCTGGGCAGATCGCAGCTCTGGAGCCACCCCAGAGAAATTGGGAACCTGTCAGAGCTGGAGGAGACTGGCTGTGATGAAAAGGAGGGTGTGACGCAGCAAGAAGTGAGGCAGCTTTGGGGTGTGGTTTGATAAGTCTGGGAGCTGGCTCCTCTTAAGTGAGCCTGTGTGGTAATTTAGTATCAATGAGAAAGTGATTTTTGTGTTGGGTGCCTTTGTGTGTTTGCGCCAGCAAATTCCTTTTTGCACCCCAAGCAAGTTCCATCTCCTCTCTGTCACCTTCCTGTAAATGCATCTGCCTTCTCTTACTCTTGGTGGTGCTGACCTTACTTCTCAATCAAGACAACCTCTGGGCTGGGCTTGCTCTCTTTTTACTGTATTTTTCATTCCACACCTAATAGTTCTCATCACCTTCTCTCTCTCTCTCGTCCCTTCCCCCAGCAGGCACTACTGCTCTTTATGGGGAAGTCTCTGCGATGGTTTCCATTCCTGCACGTGGATGGCCTGTACCGCTTCACTGTGCCCTGCTGCTCGGTAAGAGACAAGTTGTCCTGCTGTTCTCTCTTGGAGACTTCTGCTGAACTGCATGTGGGAGTCAAGGAGTCAGAGGGTGACTAAGCTGTTCTCAAGGTCTGGAATTTCCTTCTGTCTTTCCAAGAAACTGCTTTCGTTCTGTTTTTGATTAAAATTCTCAGAGCTCTGAGTTCATTGGATTTTTTTTTTAATTTTGTAAACCATTGTTCTTCACTTTTTCCTTATGGAACTTTAATCTCCTTCCTTCTAATAGTCTTCTGTCTTGCCTTATCACTCTTATCTCAGGACTTGCAAGTGTTTTACAAGCTCTGTTCTCCACCTGTGCCAGCAGCATTCCTGAGCAGACCATCCTGCCCCCTCTGCCTGCTTGTCCAAGATAGCTGGCACTTACAGCATGAGACCTGGATCTCCTGTCTGCCTGAGCACCAGGTATGCAGTGCCTTATTGCGCAGGGCTTTCACAGGCTACTTGTAGATCTCTCCAGAGCTAGCTAGAAATTATCAATACAGACTATCTTCTGGTGAGACTGTTCTGCTCTAAGTTCCATCAGAGGCTGCTGCTGGACTTCATATTTTCCTGCTTCAGAAATTCATCTGAAGAGGAAGCATGAGTTGCTTGACATAGCTCTGAGCATGCAGAGCTTGTCTTCTCTGCTCTGGCTGGGGATGCCTGCAATCTGCAACCTGTCTGAGGCTGTGTCTCCCTCACTTGTAGCTGACAGCCCTGTCAGTGCTGACAGGCATGGACCAGAGAACTGCCTCCATCCCAGAAGTGCTTAGCAGCAGGTATGTTGGTCTGCCCCAAATTACAAGTGACTGTGTCTTAGAGAATGGCTTTGTGGTAATTTTTATTGTTAAGTGCTATATTAAACTGAGATGAAATATCCACCCTAGGAATATGGTTTGGAAAACTTGTGTGCAAGTAGTTCAGACTTCTCCCATCCTGGTTATTGAAGCTAAAGGGATTGTAGGTGACAAAACTGCAAAATGATGTCTAGAAAATGGATTGGCTACTGCTGGTGTGGACTAAGTCCCAAAGGTGTCTGCCAGATTCCTGTCAGAAGTGAAAACAAACACAGCAGGGAAAATCAGACTGAATGTATATTTTTTGGTTTTTGTTTTTGCGGGTTTTTTTTTGGTTTTTTTTTTTTTTTTAGATTTTTTTAGCGTACCTTGCTCAAACAAATACTAAGTTTAGAAGCTTTTCTGTTCAAAGCATGTTTAATCTGGGGTGATATGTGTGTACACTGGATTTTTCACCAGTGTTTTATGAAAAACTGTGTTTTCTTTGCTTGGCTTCTTCATCTAATTCAGAAAAACAATTTGGAGTTTAGCAGATAGGAAGGCTGTAGTGCCTTACCCTTCATCTTCACGCTGAGCCTGAAGCAGCAGAAAGCAAGGTAAAGGGGCCTCTTGTCCCTGGGAGGGGTAGGCTGCAGCAAGCTGCCCTCAGTCCAGTAGCTCAGGTGCTCAAGGGCAGGTTCCCCAGAAACTGGGCTTAACCAACAGTGCTCCACTTTGTGGCAATCTTGAAGTCAGGCCTTCTTCCACCCCCTTTGTCTTCAGGCAGGAAAAAAATCCTGGTCTGCTCTCAGTTTCACAGGTTCCCTTGTTTCTTTCTGTGGTGAGATCGTGGAGAGGACCTTGTGTGCCTCTCCCAGGAATGAGAAGCCACCTGGCCATCCAAAGCAGAGAGGTAAGATTGTGGCAGCCTGTTGAAAAGCAACAGATTGGATCTTCTTTCTGTTTCAGAGAGCCAGTGCACTTGGCTAAGTGTGCTGCTGCGTCTGGGAATAGTGGAAGTATGCCAGGATGTTGCATCCTGTGCATGTCAAAGGGCTTGGAAACTGCCCTCTGTGTATGTGGAGATGAGAATGCAGTATCCAGAAAACCTGGGAGGTGGAACAGTGATAGCCTCATTGTGATGGGAGGAAAAGCCTCTCTAGCAGGCCCAGCTCAGTGACAGGCCATGCTGCCTGTGTGAGTGAGCTCAGGGTCTGTGTGGTTCTGTGCCTCCTCAGGGACTCTGCTCTCCAGGGATCACAGTGTGAAGCTCAGTGTCTCAGCTGCTCCAGGCTCCCCTGTTGTGATGGACATTTACATTACTGCCACCTACCTGCACTATCTCTGGGGTTTGCTACCTGGAGCCAAGATCCTCTTCCAGAACTTGGAACGCAAGATCTCAAGGTGCTCCTGTCTTTAGAGCCCTCTCTTACTGTCTTTGAAACTATCTCTTAATCTGTGGACTTTCCTCATCCCTTGTCCAAACCTTCATGTCTCCCAATCCCTTACCATAAATTATTTTCCTACCATGTTACAAATGAAGATCAGCCCAGCCATCCCAAGAAAACTCGAGTGTTTGGTTTCTGTGAGCTCTTTCTGACGTCTGCTCTTTCATATTGCAGATTCCATAATGTTTATTGCACATACAATGCCTCCAGCTGTGTGAGCATCCTATCTCTGCCAGCTTCCCACCTACCTTTTTCTTCTAGGTAAGTGTTGGGTCTCTTCTCATGATACAGTGTCCAAAGAAAGGCTTCTATGTTTCAAGCTTCTCAAATTGCTATTTCTTCTAGTCCTGCAGGAGAAGCCTCACCCCCCTCACTAGTGCTTCTGTCCAGCTTGAGACCTCAGCTGCAAAATCTGGCCCAGGCCCGGATTTTATGCCACTTGTCCTGTGTACTGACAGTGTGCCTGCAATGGATTTGCTCAATTTGCAGCTGCATCTTCAAAGAGGTATTCAAGCTTCCACAAACATAATTTGTGAGAGATCTTGCAGATTTTTTACTCACACATCCTTTGCTACCATATAGAAGAACTGAGAATTCCTACCTCGATTGCAAACCCTCTTTCCAGTGTCTGAGAAGGACTTGCATGTTAGAAGGAGACCAAAGGGATAACTGATTAGAAGTGTGTTTCTGATGCCAGGCAGGCTGGCAGCTAGGACTGGGGGTGAAGTGAGGACACTGAAGAGGACAATCCTACTCTATTAATGCTCTGCTCTTCCCATGTTCACTGCTATTGGGGATCAGCACCTTGCAGCAAGGTGATTTTTCTCCGCATATAAACTTTTCCCAGAACACTCATTGGAAATGCAGTGAAATTCTTTACACCTTTGCATACTTAATTAGTGAAGTGTTAAAATAAGCAGTGGCCCTTCCCTTTCTCACTTACATCACCCATACATAGCTGTAGTTTTGTTCTTCCTTCAGGGGAGGTGCACCCGACACAATCCCCCATGTCCGTCACAAACAGGAGTGAGGCAAGCCAGTGCACGGTGAGTGCTGTAGGGATTGGGTGTGGGAAGAGCGGGGAGGAGGGGACAAATTACACCCCAAACTGGAGGGGGAAATCATATCAAGGATGGGATATGGACAGAACAGCGAAGATGGAGTTACCACATCTTCTGAGATGTGAACAAACTCTCTACTGAGATGTGTTTTCTGGGGTGTGACCCTTGTGAGGGAGCAGGTATTGTCCTGCCCTCCTCATCCCAGCCTGCCTGCTCTCTACACAGGGTGCTGGTGGAGGATGGAACAGGTGAAGCTGTGGTGCTGTGCAGGAATGAACATGTGGCAGCAGTGCTGGGCCTGAGCCTTCTCGAGTGGGAGGCTGTGCAGAACTGTGTGCAGAGCAGGGGCAGCGTGTGCATTCAGCATGGGGAAGCCCCTGGAACAGGGGTGAGTGGGCTATTCCAGTAGCAATTGCAGCCTCCTGGGCTCAAGTCTTGGCTGGACAGGATTTCCCTTTGCTCTGGGTGTTCCAGAGTCTCCCTGCCTCCCACTGAACCCTCCCTGGCAACACCCTCTTTCCTTCCTCAGTGTCTAGAGAAACCTGAGGATCTTGTCACTTGTTACCTAAGGAGTCTGTGCCGAAGTCCTCTCATATGTCGCCCTATCCTGTTGGACTTCAGCCTAGACAGGAAGCCCTCCAAGATCCAGCAGCCTGGTAAGCAAGTACTGCTGGCTTTTCTAATATTTAGTGTGGGAAGGAAGGGAGGAGGCATCTCACCAGGCTGGGGAAGGAGAGGTGCCTTCGCTGCCCATCATAGCAAAATCTTTGAAGGATTTTCCTGGAATTTTGTCTTCTGTAGTGTAGAAGTAAGTTGTGTATTAGTAGATCCATGGCTATAAAAATGGAGAAATAATATTATGGAAATTCCTAAAACAACATAGGATAAATTTTTCTACTTTACACAGAAACATAAAATTGTTCTTGAGAAAGATTCCCAATCCTTGTCTGGGACAGGAATCTGATCAGCCAGAGTTACTGTGCAGACCTCTCAAATCAAGTGGGTTTTGATTGTACATAGGACAGCATGTAGGGTCAATAGCAGGCCTGGAAATCCTCTCCTGGAAATCGGCACTGAAGTGTTTTGAATTCATGAGTGCTGAGGTCTGAGCCCTTGCTGCCACAACTGTGCAGTTGCTGTGTTAAGGGGACAGTCCTCACGCACATACCTAGAGCTTGAGTGCAGGTGCTGGAGAGGTTTGCTAAGCTCACCAGAGGATGCTCTGCAGTGGAGACTTTCTGGCTGTCATGTACACTGTCTGTAAAGACAGGTTGCTGATACTGATAGAGGATACAAAGCTCAGAGTATCAGCTCTGTGAGCACATAGTTCACAGCATTTCACACTGTAGAATGTCTGTTTCCTCCAGGTTGGAGGGATGCTGGCAAAATGCATTCCTCTGCCTATGTCCTGGAGTCATTCATCGTGCTGTCCTCTGAGGTTTAGCAGATGCCAAGCAGCATTCCCTCCCGCAGCAGCTTGTGCAGCTGTGGGCCAGAGCAGAGCCAGAGCCCTATACTGAGTTGTTACCCGTTGTATCCTTCCCCTGCAGCTCCCCTGCCGCTGCGGAATTTTCACTGTGGTGAAGTGGAGTTTGTGTCACGAGTGGGGCCTCGTCCGACCCTGCTGTGCCTGAAGGTGGAGGAAGTGGGACAAGATGCCTTACGCTACCTGAACAGCCAGAGGATGAGCAGGACATCCAGTTCCTGCTGAATGGGAGCCACTGCTTAATATCGCTCCCAGTGGGAGAGGAATTATGGAAATACCTACTGTGATCAGGAGCTTTTTTAATCTCCTTTCAGGAGGAGCACAAGCCTGTGAGCACAGGGTGAAGCACGCAGTCAAGCAGCTGCTGTAACTCGTGTCACTCTGGGCCATTGTCAACCAGTGACACTGGGCTACATTTTGGAAGAGAGATGTTCAATGCTTCCTATGTGACAGCTCTTGCCTTGGGCCTAGGGCACACGGTGTGTGCATTTTGTGTGGTAGTATCTACTAAATAAAGCTGTGAAAATATTACTTAAAGAACACTGTTTTAGTATCTATTTTGGTATTCAGGTTTACCTGCTACATGGTGACTTGTTAACAAAACTATACAATTCCCACAGGGTATGGTCTTCTTCACCTAAATGAAATAATTAAAATTACACTTTTAAAGCATCTCCTTCAAGAAAAGAAGGGAAGTGAGTAAGCTGCTCTTTGGAGACTAAATCACAGTGCTAAATGACAAGATTTTTTGGGCATTGTTTTGCAGTTTATCAGCAGCAGCCTGAACATTAGGTGGGACTGGTAAGAAGAGGCAGGCACTGAGCTGTGACACAGGCAGTGGATTTATTGAGCATGAGTGAAGTGTCTTCCCTCTCAAGGCCTGCTGTCCACTTCTGAGACCGAAGTGTGAGTGGCACAAGACCTGATAGATGCCACCATTCAGTAACATTGTGAGACTCCATCCTAAAAGGCTGCCAGAATAGCTTCAAGCAGAAGTCTTTGCAAATGTTGCTGTGACAGCCTTACTTTCTGTGGGTACTTTCTGCAGAACAGAAAAGATTTTACTAAACCTTGTCTCCACCCTCCAGAAAGAAAGCAAAACAAAACCAAAAAAAACCCCAAAATAAACTATCTCAGCCTGAGGAAAATGTTGACCGTAAGTGATAAGACAAAGATAAAGTCTGGTTAAAAAGTGCAACTGAAAGTAGTCGTGTAGTATGAATAACACAGTAGCAGACAGAAATAGATAGGAAGTACCTGATAACATTTATTTAAGAAACAAAAAAGGAAAATTCAGCTCTATTGTTTTATCTGGGTTTGATAACTTTGCTTCTGAATTTGAAGCTTGTATCTTACTAGTCTCCTTTTCCTGCTCATGCTGTATGTTAGTTTTCTGTCTGCTGTCTGGTTATCTGTTCCTCTCTTATTTCACATTACAACTGCAATCATCACACTATACAGGACTTTAGATATGGTTTGTCTTTGCCAGGATATTCCAAGCCTGCTGGCAGTTTTCCAACCCATCACTGTTCTGCCATTCACATCTTTTTCAGCAGGGAAGTTTGATTTTAGCATTCTAAGAAGATGAAGGAGGTTAACTGCCTCTCTTATTTACAGTTTTATTAGTGCAGTCAGAGAATCACAAGACAAGAGATGGGTGAATCAAATCTGTTTGGGGGGAGTTAAGATTTGCTTGCTTTTAGTACTCTGAAGGAGCTGTTCTCAGCTGTATTGCAGGAAACCCTTTTCCTGTTTGTGTCTGAACTTCTGCCCATGATCAGAGTTCTGGTCACTGTGTTAGATCAGACAAGGGAACATATCTTTTTGTCCTACAATCAGAACTTTTCCTTTATGCAATTCTTGTCACATTCCTTGTTCCCTTTGTGAAGCCAAACAAAATATCCTGTTGTTGGTCTGGGTAAGAAATAATAACACAAGAAAAATCAGCTAATTTCATGTTTGTACTACAGTGTACTCTGGAATCAGCAGTAACTGCTAAAGCCCTCAGCTCCATAGGGAGGAAAGCCTGAAGTGAGTCCTGCCATCAACGTAGCTGTAATACCTGCTCTATGTGGAAAGACAGACATGTTCCTTTCAGCTGATTTTCTTTAGCTCACTCTCACCAGTTCCCCTCCAGGTCCTACCACCCAAAGCCAACAAATACTGAAGGCAGCTGTCCTGTGCTTTGGCTGTGTAAGCCCTCCTTATTCCAGGTCTGCAGGGAATTGCTCAGGCTGGCAGCTCCCTCTAGCCATGTTCAAGGTGTCTGTAGTATTTACTGGAGACACCACACTGTACTCTGGAGTTGTGTGAGTAAAGTGGGAGCAAGCAAGGCTTGTACTGTAGCAGGTCTTGTGCGCAGGGAGGGAGGAAAAGGCCTGTGCTGCCTTGCAGCCATGAACTGCAGCCCAGGTCCAGGAAATGGTGCCAGGAAAGAAAATGAGGGGACAAGTAAGAGCTGACAGTTGATGGTGCAAGAGAAGGATCTCTGTGGTTGCAGAAAGTGATGGGAGAAGCTTGTGGGAGAGACAAGCCATGTGTCCCACCTAAAGGTGGGTCTGAGAATGAGGAAAGAATGGGCAGAGGGGAAAGACATGCACTCCCATTCTGGGGAAAGACACACACTCCCATTCTGGGGAAAGACACACATTCTCATTCTGGCAGGCTTGAGATAGGTCTGCTGCTGTAGCCAAACTCCCTAAGAGGGCTCCGTATATTGTACGTATATGAGTTTCTCTTCCCAAGCTTACCTGCAGGTCCAGCAGAGTTTCCATCTGCTTTACAGAGGTTTCATACTGACAGCAGGTACAAGGGAAGCAGAAGCATCCAGTGACAGGCTGGAAAGGAGGATGATGCTGACTCTGCATTCAGGTTCACCAGCTGCAAGTTGCTCACCTTTGTAAAGCTGAAATCTGTAGCAGAAGAATTGTGAGAGGCTACCAGAACAGGAACACAGCAGGGAAGGCAAATAAAGTGTGTACTTCTTCCCATTTTTCTGAATATGGATGAAAATAGACCATGCCTCTTGTACTGGACACCAATTGCAATGAAGTCACGGCTGTAGAAGCACTATGACCCTTCTCATGTAGAACAGGAGAAGATACTCAGGACCTTTGGAAAGCTTGATTTTCTGTGAGTAAAATGTCTTTTTAAATAAAGGGATTGGGCTGGAGTCAGGTATTGTCATCAATAACTGCTAAAGGGGCCTGTTGGTTTGGTACACAAACGGGATCTAAGATGAACTGCTAAAGAAAGCGTCAAAAGATGTGGGGCTTGGTTGGTTGGTTTGGTTTTGGTTAACATTCCAAGCAATACACTCCTTTGAAGTGTGTCCCTCCTTGCGGTCCCCTGGCAGTTCTGTCCCCATGCCAAGGTGACAATACCACGAGAATCATAAAAGACAGCAGGAGCAAGCACTGACCCTTTCATTTATCCCAGGGACAGAGAAGTGATTGGATTAGCCATGCTTTCAGTCCCTTCCTTGCCTGACACAGCTGCTGCAGGAAGCCCCTGGTGCACCAGGAACACTGCTGAAACTCTCCTCTCCGCCGTGCCTGTGGTCTCGGGGTGCTGTTGAACCCTACCTGTCACTCTCACGTTGACCACAGCCTTGGCAATGCTGTTTTCAATCATGCAGGTGTAGGTGGCATTAGCAGTGATGCTGTGCAGGAGGGAAACCACCTTCACAGTGATGTTTTCGGAGTTCAGCTGGTAGCTGGTGTTGGCAGCGTGGGGCAGGTGCTCCCCAGTGTCACCGTGGGCCGTCCAGCGCACGGCAGGGCGAGGGAACCAGCGCGGGGCTTCGCACTGCAGCGTGTCCCCACGCCTGCTGTTCTCCACCTGCACCACGGGGATGCTGAAGGCTTTGGGAGGGAAAACAGGGAGACAGTCAAACAAGGCAAGTGATAGGAACTGGGCATGAAATACCCAACTGCATCTACCAGTCCCAGGTGTTTCTAGGCTGCTTGCTGCTTGGCAGCGCAGCACTGCCTGGAGCCAAGCCAAAACCAGGCTCAGACAGAGCTCTGTACAGGTTGGGCCGTGGGAGGATGAGTACAAGGGACCCAGGGCTCATAGGACATAGCAGTCCAGCTTGACAGGATCTGCTAAGGTGGTGACACAGCTTTAGTGTCTTTTATTTATTCTTCATAATGGGGAAAGATGATTCATGCTCTCCACCCACTGAGAAGGGGGCCTGACCAACACCTACAGCTTCACAGAGTTTCAGGATCATTAAGGTTGGAAGAGACCTTTAAGATCAAGTCCAGCTGTTAACACAGCATTAATTCCACCACTATACCATAACCATAAATGCACGTATTTTAAATTTCTAGTGGTATCTAGGGATAGTAGGTGACCCCACTACTTCCCTGGGCAGTCCGTTCCAGGGCTCGATAACCCTTTCCATGAGCAAAATTTCCTTAATATTAAATCTAAACTTCCCTTGGTGCAACTTGAGTCCATTTTCTCTCCTGAGCAATCCCCTGCACTCCTGGAATAAGCAGGGCTTACACAGCCAAAGCCCAGGACAGCTGCCTTTAGTATTCTTCAGCTTTGGCTTTGGGTGGTAGGACCTAGTAGAGGTGAACTGGTGTAAGGATGAGCTAAAGAAAATCAGCTAAAAGGTACACTATCTTTCCACACAGAACAGGTATTACAGCTGTGTTGGAAATAAAACCCATTACAACACTTCACATGTCTTTCTAATGCCTTTTCTGTGTGAATTACTTTAAACATCCAATCAAGCAACACAAAAGTAGGCAGAGCCACAAGGTTTCAAGGAGGGATGGGGGACAAAGTCCCCACAGAACATTTGCAACCCTCAAGCTTGAGCCAAAACCCTCTTTCACTTGGAGAGGTCTGAGGGGTTTTCCTCACCCAATTTGAGCTGTAGGGCAGCAATTCTGGCCACAGGAAGGAGAGGGAGGGTGCAAAGACTGCAGTCTGGAGGAGACCCTCAAGGGTTTCATCCCTCAGTCGCAACATGAGGTGATCACTTGGGAGGAGACTTGTTATTTCAGCTAAATTCATCTCACTGGAAGAGGCTGAAGACCTGGTGGTTTCCAGATCTCTCCTGGAGGACTGACTCTTGTAAATATGCAATGTTTCAGGTAACTATGATATCAGAGGTCTGTTGCTTTAGTAATAATTTAAAAAAAACAAATACTTCAGAAAAACTGAGAAAAATATATTAAGTATGCTACAATTTTACTATGCAGCAGTACTGCCTGGAGATATATCCTAATTCTAATTAGGTATAATATCTAATTCTAATTAGATATATCCTAATCCTAATACTAGAAAGAAAAAGCTACCATGTCATCAAGATTATAACCTTTTCTGGAATAAGGATATCAAAAGAGGGGTTAAAGCCATAAATACCCCTGTAAAAGCCAGAAATATACCCTACCCACGGGTGTAGCAGCATCATAAGCACAGGTAGGTTCAACCAAGCCACACTAGCACGTGTTTTGCAGCAGGATTTTGCTCCTTGTAGCCCTCACCTCCTGTCCTGT